CGGTATCCATGATTTTTGATGCCTTTCTAGGCGATTTCTCTGGTGATTAGAAGCCACACACCACCTAGAATTGACCTAGCACCCCTTCCTCTTCCAATTTCAAAAAAAAAAAAAAAAAAACGAGTTAAATTGGCCTTGAATTCGTGATGAACTCACCAGTGAGTTCTTGGGGTGTACAACTAAATTCAGCCATTTTTTGAAGATAATACAATCGACCACCACCATTAAACTACTTCTTGTGAGGCAGGGAACAAAGCCCAAACAACCATAGGGGCGGCAGAGCACCAGAGGTGATGGATCGAAACCACCTATTTTTAGGGTTTCCGACGAGTTCGAGGAAAATTAAGACTTTTCCCGGCCAAATTGGGCTTGGCCACAAGTATGAAACTTGCTCCACTCATCGAGATCTACATTTTTGTGAAATTTGGTAAATTTAGGAAATAGTTGAATTTTCCGACGAGTCGAGGCAGCGGTGCGTGGGGCGAGACCTCACCTGACCATCCTAGGCTAATTTGATGCGTAGATTCCATAATTGACATCCATTTAGTGAAATCCTGATGTTTTAATATAGTTTCGTAGTGGACCACCTAGTTGGCTGCCACTTGGTTATTATATGAATGGACGATCCGACCATTGGATCGACACCAAACTTTAATACATGATAGTACGTAATATTTGTGGGCATTAAGAACTTACGGATTGGGAATTTGACATACGGATCTACCCGAATTGAATTTCTAAAGTTCGTAAAATCCAACTTTAACCGCCACTTGAATTTATGATTGGCGGAGATCCGACCGTTGGATCGTAAAGAAGTTTTAGTATGTTGTTATAGAAGGATAGTGTGGACTTTGGGAAGTTATGGATCAGAAATCCATGGACGTATGTCCCAGATTGACTTATGCATGGTTGTGGACCCTCCTTAGCGTATTTCGAAGCGCTAATTCCAAATCCGTCGTCCGTTTTTCGAAGTTCGACCGTTGTAGGATAGTTCCTTTATTAGCCGTATTTTGTACGAAAACATGTAATTTCATTAGCACGTTATGTTTACCTAAATGGTTTCGTTTCTAGGCGAAACGAATCGCAAAGACTCTCGATGCTACTAGACTGGTTCGACTCGGTGACATGATTTGTAAGTGGGTCTTTTCTTTGACATATATATATTGGTTAGTTTCCATATATACATTTATAGATAAATTCTCTACGTGATTGCCATGATTAAACTTACGTTTATAAGAAATGCCTTATTGTTGGGAAATGATGAAATAATCCTACAAGATGCACAGGTAAGCTTACTATAAGGGGATGCCTTAATTATATTTATTGTGACATCCCACATCACCCAGGGGTGTGATCTTTAAATGTATATTCCCATCTCTACCTAGCACGAGGCCTTTTGGGAGCTCACTGGCTTCGGGTTCCGTAGGAACTCCGAAGTTAAGCGAGAAGGGGGCTAGAGCAATCCCATGATGGGTGACCCACTGGGAAGTTGCTCGTGAGTTCCCAAAAACAAAACCGTGAGGGAATGGTAAGCCCAAATCGGATAATATCGTGCTATGGTGGTGGAGTGGGCCCGGGAAGTGATCCACCCCGGGTCGGGATGTGACAATTTGGTATCAGCGCCTAACCCTGACCGCGTGTGTACCGACGAGGACGTCGGGCCCCCAAGGGATGTGACAATTTGGTATCAGCGCCTAACCCTGACCGCGTGTGTGCCGACGAGGATGTCGGGCCCCCAAGGGGGGTGGATTGTGACATCCCACATCACCAAAGGGGATCCTTAAATGTATATTCCCATCTTTACCTAGCACAAGGCCTTTTGGGAGCTCACTAGCTTCGGGTTCCGTAGGAACTCCGAAGTTAAACGAGAAGGGGGCTAGAGCAATCCTATAATGGGTGACCCACTGGGAAGTTGCTCGTGAGTTCCCAAAAATAAAACCGTGAGGGAATGGTAAGCCCAAAGCGGACAATATCGTGCTATGGTGGTGGAGTGGGGCCGGGAAGTGATCCACCCCGGGTCGGGATGTGGCATTTATGGTCATGAATAGTATGATATTGACTAGAATTGTTGAATGGCTGTGGCATGATTATAATTATGTTATTTGCTCATTGTTTGCTGCACCCATGTTAGTGTTTGCCCAGTGCCAGTCTTTCGCATGTATGTTCACATCCACATCGCACGCTCTCCTTGGATCCAAGTAGGTGCCAGTCCTGTCATACAGGTTGCAATAGGCAACTCTGACTCATATATGACCGCGAATAGTGCCAGTCTTCACGTGATTGTAGCACTACAACGTATATTATTATTACACCCAGCCATGTTCATGTCAGAATACCTCTGCATAAACTCATGTGTCAGCATGTGTCGATGAGCGCCCGATATGATATGTTTGCTTATTCGAGATTATGTGTTATTGGTTTTTATATGTTCATGTACGCAATATTGCGACGTATGGCAATCTTGTGATTTTGCAAGCTACGGTAGGTATTTTCATACTATACGTAGTATGTATATTTTGGAAATTGTACTTGTTTTACGGCGAGGGGTTACGATGTTTTCAGAAAGACTTTTATAAAACTTTATTTTCAGGCCCACTCACCCTTATTTTTCATCCCTCCAGGTTTTAGTAGCTGAGCTTTCATATCGACGAGGATTCTTAACAAATTTTGGTGTAGACGATTCCATTCGATGGTATAATTCTCACCTTATCATACTGTACTGTACTTATGCTCTGACATCACGTGTGAAATTGGTTCATTCTCGCTCACAACGTACTCTTATACTTAGGCACTTTTAGGTTTAAATTTACTCACATTTTCCACATCACTACACATTATGGTTTCGTCACCTTCCAGGTATCGGCCAACACAACTCGATTCGGAGTCCTAATGGACATTTTGGGTTGGGATGTGTCAATAATAGTATCGAACTCGTTATTCAACGATATCTTACCTCTAAAATGTTTTAAAGCTTGGAACAATGAACAATTCAGCAATTAGACAATAATTTTCCACAAAGCATCTCCACACATTGGTCCACCAATGACAATTGGAGGTCAAGGGCGATAAAAGTTCTCTTACTTTTCACTCTAAACAATGCCTTTATGCAAGTCCACCTATTTAGAAGGAGAAAGGGCAAGGACAATTACTATTCACAAATATATGTTTTTAACTTTTTGATGAATGTGGCGCTACAACAAACATAATTAATGTCTACTTCCAATAAATAATTTCAAATACAACAGATAGTCATAGCATTACAACAAACGTAATTAATTTTAAAATAGAAGATAAAATCATTGTGGCACGGTTCGTATTTTTTTGGAGTGTATAAAACTTCCTCATCTTCCAAGAAAAACCTTCTTCTCATATAAGACAATTTTTTTCACTTCTTCAAAAACGTTTTGAATTAGGAGATTCATCATCGAGGCGTTAAGACATGATCTCCTGATCCTTCTCCTCTTGCCTTTCTTTCCGATTCAAATCTTTTTCTCTCACCTTGGCTTCATCTCCAGTCTTGTCTTGCTCATATGTTAGCCTGTCTCGTTCCATATTAAATGCATGTTGGCAACCCAATTCATCAACCAGTTTTGAATAATCTTTATTCAAAGAACTCCTTCTTGCAGTTTTTTCTTGGCAACCTTCTTACCAATGGGCCTTGTTGTTTCTTCATTTTATGCGACTGATTTAATAAGGGTCGCCAATGGTGTCTCCAATGGCAACTCTTTCAATAGTTGATTCGTGCAATGAAGTATTGTTCAACTAAAACTATGGACCAATAGGTAGAACTTTGTACTTTGGAGTTTGCTTCACAATGTTCCAACATTCGTGCCTTGTGAATGATTCTTGTTATCAAGATTGAACCACATTTGAGCCTGTAGTTGCTGGAAAAAAAAAAAAAAAAAAAAAGTGTAAACAACATAAATATTTACATAACAAAAGAAAAATATATATACATTAATCACATTTTTATTAATAATAAAATAATATTACCATATAGGCCAGATTAGTGCCACTTTGATAAATTTCTTCCGCTTTTGCAAGGGCTTCCTGCCAAGCTTTCAAATCTTTATGAAGATGTCTGTATCTGCTCGACATAGATTGCTCACTCCGACATGTGCCTTGAATCTGCTTGACAAATTGTGTATGAATCTTATGCCACATGTGTTGCACTTTCATCTCATTTCCCGGTGATCGGATCATGAGTAACAAGCATCCAAACCTGAAGCAAAACAACATCTTCCCCAATCAACCAATTTGAATTGTCACTCATTTTTCTTGCTAACAAAAGGATTTGGGAGGTAGAGAACAAATCCAGGAGATTGTAGTAAAAACAAATATTGAGTTGTGGTATGAAGAATGAAGAATATGGTTAGATATTTATTGAAAAAAATTTGGGTCTTATTCAAAATTTTTTAATAATCTTTAGTCATTTTAAATTTTTTTACCAATATAATATTCTTAGCCGTTGATTTTCAAAATTATAATCGTTAGAAGGTCAAGATTCTCTCACGTGGCAAACAAAAGGATAATTTTCTTTTTTGTTAGAAAACCAACGGTCCAGATGAAATGACCATTAAAAATCCAATGGTGATGTCTTCCTCAAAAAAGAGCTGTTTGAATTTAGAATGCATCACATGGGAGAAGAGGGCATGTTTATCAAAGCGACGCTCACGAGCTTTTTAACCAGACACACAAATGCTCAAGTTTGGCTTGATTCTCTAACGATCCAAACATTGAATCGAACCAGTTGCAACCTCGAACTATTTTGAGCTGATTTACAGTCCTACCTAACTACAACCCCGAAATTTCCTTTTCTTTTTTATTTTGTCAAAACCATCCCTAAATTTCTTAACACATATTCAACGATAATCACGCTAAAGTCAAACATTGATATGATCATACATCGTTAGGTGAAGGTGACCCACATAAAACCCCCCGCTCCATTTTGAAAGGTTGGTACTCAACCAATAAGCGACCAAATACGAATAAGACACCGTGTCGTTGTAAGCCCCTCCATCCTCCTGCCAATGATATCGCACCACCTCAGCATTGGACCCTAGTGATACACTAGCACACGTTACTGTCGTCGGTTCAACTTTCTTGTCGTCGTCCCCATCGAAAAGCAAAAACGCACTAACCCCGTCGTCGTTTTCCTTTCCCCATCAAATAAAGACGACACACTTCGCACCCCAGTCTCCCTCAGCACACAGCTTTACCGAAGCTCCGACATCGGCGCGTCTCGGCCGATACGATGGCCGATTACACGCCGCTGCTAACCGCATACGACGGTCCCGGGACCGCCAGTCCGAAGCCTCCACGCGTCGCCTCTCTCGATGTGTTCCGCGGCCTCTGCGTCTTCGTAAGCTCTCTTCTACTTATGATTTTTTAGCTTCAGATTCTGAAAATTTAATCTTTTGATTGAACGCGTTGACTTTTTTTTTACCATAAACTGTTTGGTTGCCTAGAAAATGGGGGAAAACGAGTAGTGCAGAGAGTGATAGTGATACTCTTTAACTCTTACTAATCACATGTTTATTCTTTCTTTGTTTTTTTTTCGTAAATTTTGATCGGAAACATATTATCTCAACTCTGCTGAGCTACTGAAAGTTTTCGATTTCAATTTTTTTTTTCTGGTCAATTTTCTTTCTGGAATAATCTCAGGAACCAACACTTGATTGAAGTTAGTTTCTTTTGGTTACGAATTTTGAATTTATACTACATTGCTTGAATTTCAGCTGATGATGCTAGTTGATTACGGCGGCTCAATTCTTCCGGTTATCGCTCACTCGCCGTGGAACGGGCTCCATTTGGCTGACTTTGTTATGCCTTTCTTTTTATTCATCGCTGGCGTTTCACTTGCTCTTGTATACAAGGTACTTGTAGAGTTAATGGAGGTTTAGTTTTTCCACATTGGAATCGCCAACTCCTTTTTTTTGAATTTCAAGTTTATATTGTGAATGGAATAGAAAGCTTATTTGATTTGAATCACTATAAAGGTTCTTAATTTAGTTATGAATTAATAGAATCTGAAAGGTTTACTTTTGATTGGCAATAACAGAGAGTGACAAACAGAGTAGAAGCTACATGGAAGGCGGTGTTTAAGGCCGTAAAACTTTTTCTTCTAGGCATCCTGCTTCAAGGTAATATTTTCTATAAATCCGTTTAAGCTCTTCTATGAGCATGCGGTGCATAACCGAAGATATGCTCTATGAAAATGATGGGGTTTAGCATAACTGGAAACACTTTGGAGCATCATCTACCCAATTACATTACTTTTAACCGAGATAAACTGTTTTCATTTCCCAAATTTCTTATATGGAGTTTTATCTCCTCCGTCATTTTTCATCCTACAGTTGGAGTTCTATTGTGGTATTCTTGGTCTTAGTGGTCATGTAATATTTAGTGCTACTGGAATAACAAGTGTGCATGGTCCATGTCATTTCAGGTGGTTATTTCCATGGAGTAGCATCTTTGACTTATGGAGTTGACATTGAAAGAATACGGTGGTTTGGCATTTTGCAGGTGCATAAGTTTTTCATTCCAATATGTTTGAACTACTTTTCATGTTAGAATCAGAATAATTGGGGATGTATACATCACCAAGTGAAAAGTTTTAAGGATGTGAGTCTAGTAATTGGGTGGCCAATTCCCATATGTAATACATTGGAAAAATCTGTATTTAACATTTCATAAAGTAATGATTCATATTCTTCTCAAAATAAAAAGTAAAAATAAATAAAGTAATGATTCATATGTCTACTGCTTTCCTTAACTTTCCATTTGATGATTGAGTCAATTACACAGGGTGATCACATTAGATAGGTTAACTTTCAGTTCTATTTTGACTTTTATCCAGAGGATAGCTATTGGATATATTGTGGCAGCTCTATGTGAGATCTGGCTTTCACGCCAGACATTGGGGGAGGTGGGATTTTTCAGGGCTTATTACTGGCACTGGTAGGTTTCAACTTAAAGCACTCTGTTAAAGTAATGAGTAACTGTGCATATAATATATATTTTCTGTAAGATTTTTACCTAAGAAAACCCCAAGTGTTTTCTCCAAGAAATTCGGGGAAAACAAAGGTCGATAGTTGTGTGAATGTATGTCTGTGAGCATTATCTGATTTCCTTGGTTGTTCTCTTGTAAACACTTCAAGTAGATGATTTACATTCTTGCATGCTATAGGTTTACCGTAGATCTTTATTTGGAGTCATCAGCATCATCACCATGATCACTAGGACATCATCAACATGAAATCATTAGGACATCCATTGTGATTTATGGTGTGGTTTATAATAACATAGATGGTCAGGGATGTTATACCTGTTCCCCAAATACGTACTCCAAAATGTTAAATGTTCAACTTAGCTTTGAACTACTGTCTTGTCTAAAATGAAAAGCAACTGCATTAATGTCCAAGAAATATTTGGATCATGTAATCTTCTTCTCATACATTTCTTTTTGTTTGTAAACTTTATTCTCATCTAATGTAGTGTCAATTTATGTTTTCTACTTTTTAGGTGTGTCATCTTTTCATTATCAGCAATATATGCTGGGTTACTGTATGGTTTGTATGTTCCAGATTGGGAATTCAAAGCATCAACACCAACCTCTTTGCCTTCCTCTAATGCTACTACTACTTATGTGGTGAGAGACCATGCTTAGAACTTCTTTCCTTCTTTTTAATATGTTGTTTCTTGCTATGGCTGATAACTTTCTTTCTCTTCTATTAATCAATAACCTTTTTTTAGAGAGGTTAATAAATAACTTTAAAGTGGTAAATTAATCAATGCTTAGAGTATGGAAATGAGCAAATGTTTACATCATGGAATCTTCATCACTTTGATTCTCCCTACACTTTTTTCCCCTGTTGCCTTCTGCTGATTTCTCTATTTGATTATGGACTATGGAGTGCTTAGAGTATGGAAATGAGCAAATGTTTACATCATGGAATCTTCATCACTTTGATTCTCCCTACACTTTTTTCCCCTGTTGCCTTCTGCTGATTTCTCTATTTGATTATGGACTATGGAGCGGAGAAGGCGTTTAACTATAGAAGTTATTATCTCCATACCAAGATACCCATATTCCAGTTGAGCGTTTTCATTGTCAAGTTGAGATTGGTATAGATTTTATGGTAAAAGTCATAGTAAGGGATCCATATCCACCTTGTTCCAGTAAGCATTTCTTTAGTTGAAAAGCATGACTTACTTTAGTCCAATCATTCCATTCTAATTACGTTAATGTAGGTGAAATGTTCTGTAAGAGGAGATCTTGGACCTGCCTGTAATTCTGCTGGGATGATTGATCGTTATATTCTGGGTTTTGATCATCTATATTTGAAACCTGTTTACAGGAACCTGAAGGTAGCTTAGCCTTGCATACTTATTATATACTCTTCATGTGAGTGACTAGTGCCTTATGAGAAATTATGATTTACAGGAATGCAATGTCTCTGCTGATGGTCAGGTTCCAGAGAGTTCACCTTCATGGTGTCATACTCCTTTTGATCCTGAAGGTATTTTAAGGTGGCCTATCTAACTCTATTCTACCATATTCACAGTTTTACTTAGTGGTTAGTGCTAACTTCAGAACTATTCAAAGGCGAAGCTTTTGTCAAGCCAAGGAAAATTATCCAATTCATCGTGTACACATAAGTAGTGAGTCGTGACTAAATGATCAGTATATATACCAGCCTTCAGGGACATCATGAACATTTAGTCAATAGAATGACTTGGCTGTGAACATTTAGTCAATAGAATGACTTGGCTGTGTAACCAATGTACTTAAATAAGGTAGCATCACCAATATGTTCAGCTGGGAGGATGTTTTTGAATTTATGCAAGTAATAAAATTATACACTTGTCATATAGTGTTTTAGACCACTTACATTAACTTTCATATTCTCTTCTAATCATTGCTTTCTATTTTGATTGAACCTGCAGTTGGTGCTACCTCCAAATTCTTAAAAACCCTTTGATATATTGTAACCTATAGCTTCACTTGTCCATGTCAACATCTTGTTTCGTTTACGGCCACTCCATATACTGCCGGATAGAGTCCATGATAATAGTTCTCAATTCATATAAAAAGCATAACTGCAAATCTTCTTAAAAGATTGAAATAACAAAGACAATGGTAGATGTGGGAAGTATGTCCCAATTACTGGCTCAACCTATAAAAACATCATCTTCAGCCTACTTTGTGACTTGTAGGCAGTCACTGTCATCCATTTGCTCATTTGGCTCCTCTTCTTTGATATTGATATTTTTTCGTGCTGTAGTATTTCATCTCAGCTAATAACAAATAGGTTCTGTTGACATTCTTACTATGTTCTCACAGCTCCCTAACAGCTGCAGTGACGTGCATAATTGGACTTCAATATGGTCACATACTTGCACACATACAGGTATACCCCTGTTCACAAATTTAATGAATTTCATTATTCACCTAAGAAAAATAGGAGCTTTCTTATGTTGACACAATATGAATAAAAACCTTAGAACGGTCTTCAAATTGTGTTGAACTCCATTCTGTGGTATTTGTAACATATGAGAAGTACTGATTCACAATTTCCACGCTATCTTGTCTACATCTCTAAACTCTGTGCCAGCTTTTATTGTTTTGGCCAATTACTCAGCAGTTCTGTTTGATGTTGTCAGGACCACAAAGAGCGCCTGAACATTTGGTTCTTCTCTTCAGTTTTAATCTTTGTCCTTGGTTTGTTTCTTGCATTCATAGGTATGTAGTCTAACTATTATTCTTTCCTTGAACTCTACTGGTGCTACAATTAAATTGTTCTGCTAGGATGATTTCAGAAAAAACTTACATTTCAGAGCTGAATTTCAACCTTTTAGTATGTGGTTTTGATTTGAGGTAGCTCTGATGCGCGCTAGCACTAACTTTTCTGCACTTCTTTCATTTCTGATTTTCAGGCATTCCTGTAAATAAATCTCTGTATACTATCAGTTATATGCTAATTACTTCTGCATCTGCGGGAATCACATTTTGCGCTCTGTATCTGCTGGTCAGTATTCAAAGAGTTTGTTAATGCTTCTTGCTTTAAATTGCTGTCTTTGGTTGGTAAACTTGAATATAATCCTCACCTTCCTTAACTGAGATTTGGTATTTCCTTTTTAAATTTCCGGTTATAATACTAAATGTAGCGAATTTACATAAAAGTAAATATTTTAAGCTTGGACTCCTAGTTAAACAGTATAAATTTTGGGTGTTGTTATTGGCACTCCAAAAATCTAATTGTGCACTCATAAGTGTATTTTTCTTTTTAGATATAAAAAGTTTGGGGTGCACAATGAGATTTTTGGAGTGCCAAAAATAGCACCCTTAATTTTTATACAGATAATTCTTGGAGGATGGTAAGAGCTTAATACAAATTTCATGGTGGGCAACCTTGTTTTGTTCTTGCATAGCTTAGAATGAATTTCAGATTTTAATTTCTCACACAATATTCAAATGCCCGTGATTCTTATAAATGAATCTTGGCACCAAACTAGTTATTTTTTCGCATCTTTCTTCACTCTTCAATTAAGGTTAAACAAGTTCCATCGTTCCAAGTTTTTAGCTAAGAGCGTTCATTAATAACAACCTGATTGATAAGCATACTACTACCTGCTCTCTCTTGCAGGTAGATGTTTACGGTCATAGATGCATGACATATGTGTTGGAGTGGATGGGAATACATTCTTTGACTATTTTTGTTGTGGTAACTTCCAACCTAGCTGTTATTGCGATTCAAGGATTCTACTTGGCCGATCCTCAAAATAACATTGTAAGTGTCCATAGGTAGCTACTTTCGCTGAAATGCAGAGTATACACAACCCACACCATTATTTTATGCTTACACTTTTCTTGTCTGAACAGGTTCATTGGATCATAACACGGTTTGTGCACAAGTGAAACGGTTAGTTGGCACCATCCATGCATAAAAGCCTTTCAGATCCTTGTCCTCGATTTGAAAACTTGATTGGGTATCTACATTGTAGTTGTTCTTCACATTATCTTCATGCATGGTTTGGTTAGGATCTGGACACTGGACGCTAACTTTTACTGTTTCGAGAATGGAGCAGATTCTGTTTCATGGTAAGAGAGTTACTTTTTTCGCAGCCACATTCATTGCAGGCGCTGTTGCTGTATACTTCATTACCGAGATTGATGCTTGACATATCCCCTGCCTGGCTAAAGCTCACGGAGTCGCTTAACCGCAAAAGAACTGTTGCTCCATATCGTGTGCTGCTTAACGTATGCAGGAAATTTTGGAACAACTAAATCAAGTTTAGTAATGTCTTCTGTGTGTTATCTAATCTTACACAAGAAATTTTGGAGTTGGTTGGGTTAAACCTTTTTTGGGCGGCCAAACTTTTGAGATATGATTCTAGGTTACTGTATCCGAATGTTATCCAATCTTGTAGATTATATGGTAATATACTTATGGATCGCACCCCTCTCTATTTATGGCCATTGGATTGAAAAGTCTAAACAGAATCAACAGTCAGAATTAAGTGGAATGTGTCCGAAGCTTAAACTGGGTGAACGTCACGTCCCGTTTTATATTGGGGTTTGTATCTCGAAGGATGTCTGTGATGAGTCTGCCGTGTGTTCTAAGCATCATGATTAAAGGGTCCACGTATGTCTAATTATCCAACTTATATTTATTAATCGACATCTGTTTGTTAATCAAACAGAAGGGTGTGGAAGGGAATATCCGATTCCTTCATAGGTTATCCTGTCCCAAATTAAAATCAAACTGTTAGCAATGATCATTATTCAGGAAGCCTCCTGTGTCAAACCAAGAGGTTAAAGTGCTAATATCTCAACTTAATTATGTGATATTCATTAAGTGTACCTGCACGATGAAGGAGAAAGAAGAGGCACAATCTTCGATATGACCCTATATAAATATGTCAGGGGGCCTCCCTCTCACAAGCTTCCACCAAGATCAGATCAAAACAATGGGGGGCCCCTGAACCTGTAATTTCCTGATGCCAACAAAATGACCCTATATAAATTCATGATTTGACAACATTTCAAGTTGGGTCCTTCTCAAAACTTTCACTACGGATATTCGAATAGTCTGTTCAGATTCCATCGAATTAAGGAATGTACGTACCTAGTCAAGGGCCATTGGAATTTGGTGTGTTCAAATTTTAAGTGGCTCTTTATAAAAACTTAGTTACACTGTATCAACGAGCTCAGTTTGAGGAGAGTGATTAACGTAAAAAGGTTCATAGTTATTGTAACGTTTCGTTTTAATAAAATAATAATATTTTTAAATCTCTAATACATATTATTTTATTATTGAATTCAAACATCATTTGATGATGAATTTTTTGCATGTAAATTGTTCTCCGGCTTGTGACTTTTTTCGCATGAAAACAACGGAGTGCTGCATGCTGTGATGTACTGTGTTGGTGTTTTTATTTATTTGCTAATATCGTATAAGCATCTGCACTTACAGAGTGATGCTTTTAAAAATGCACAAACTTAATAAAATTACTGTCAACTCAAGGCTTTCCAACAGCCACACGATGCCATCTTTTAACCTTTTTACTTTAATCGTTTTATTTCTTTTCATCATCACAAAAGCTGAAAAAACATGCTTCTCCTATATGCATCACCTCTGGACTTTCCGTAGGATATTTGAACGCGTTGATTCTAACTTTACACTCTGTTTTTTCAAATTAAATTGTTTAATGAAGTTGCTTAGGTGCCGTGCAGTTGTATAAGTGAACCCATTCCTCCTCGTTTGAGTGTCTCTTCGTTGACAGAGTATCTGTAAATAAGTGTTTTTTCAAAAGCAGTATTTTACTATAGTTTTGCACTTGTGCTTGTGTTGTTTGTCTAACATGCCATGTTTAACTTAGTTATTTTATCATTATTTTACGAGTATAAATTGTAGAATGTATGCACGATGTCACCCTTAGTTGTACTGTCCGAACAAGGACCAGTTTCACATGTATGTTTACATGCACCGTTTATGCCCACTTCGAATCCAAAGTAAGTGCCAGGATGTCCCTAGTTTTCATTAGGCTATTAGGACCCCTATGTGACCAGGACTTAGTGGATGTGCTCTTGTAACGACGAGGATTACTGACAATCACTAAAGTAGGAAGTCTTTTCCTTTATTTGTACTAGTATATCCACACACAGTGCGTGTGAACATTTTTTTTTTTTTTTTTTTGAAACGGAAGGAGAGATGCGAGGGTGAGAGAGAACGTTGGAGTGGGGAAAGAGGGGGGAGAGGTTTTTATTTTTATTTTTTAATATTAGAGATTTGATAGAAACATGTGTTTGATGCTTAACAAAAAAACAAAAAATTGGTTGTGTGAAATTACATTATTGCCCATGTTTTTTTTTTAAATTTCTGTACAGTTTTGATTAGAGGGTTAAAATGGTACTTTAATGGGATTTTCGTTGATAATCAAGTTTTATTAATATACAGTTTAGATATATATATTCATCCTTCTAGGATGTGAATACTCTTTACTTTACAGGCACGTAATGATGTTTGTATCTATGAGGTCGAGTACGGAATTATGTTTATTCACTTTAAATTGAGTATCTATTTCCCTTCTTTTCCTGCTAGGATTGTGCTGCACTGTTATGCTCCAACACTCTACTTTGTATTAAGGGTTCAACCAACACCCCCACCCCCCCCCCCCACCCCAAAAAAAAAACCAAAAAAAAAAGCGTCCTCTTACTTTAGTTACTTTAGGTTTTAATTTATTCACACTTTTCCACATCATCTTATTTTATGACTTTGTCACCTTTCAAGTATCGGTCAAAACAGTTCAATTCAGGCATTCAAGTATACATTCCCGATCAGGGTGTGTCATGAACGAGTTAAAAAAATAAAGATAAAATATGGCTGCATGATCCACATCAACAACCGAGCTTTATGGAAATTGTTTAAAAACCGCACAAACTCTAGTTGCATGGCATCTACAAATTAAAAAGTATGACATCAATTATAAAAAGCTAAATCCAAGTTAAGTATGAATAATTGCACTTTTTCCCTTTTTTTTCTTTTGTCTTTTTGGCTACAAGGTAATGCAAAAGGGATTTCCTTGTACGTATTTAAGATAATGTTAGAGTGGAGTGTCTAGTTAAAAGGGCCAATAAATCGTTACACAATCATGACAAGAGTTAATTCTCATCATTTCATTTCGAAATTGAGAAGATTCATATTTATAGTTATTGTAATTTCACATATCTTTCACTCAAAGATTGTTGTTTATAGAAAAGGAAAAATCCGGTGTAACTACTAATTTTGGTAATAGGGTGGTGATTATGATTTGTATGATCATCATTTTTTTTTTCCATTGGGAAAAAGATGACTATTTAACCATTTAAAACTACAATCTAATAGTATTCTTTTTTATTTGTAAGTGAAATGTTCTAGGTTCGATTATCGTTAAAAGTAAATTTAAATTACATTATTGTTAGCTCATTATGAGGTATATTCTACTTTCTTTTTTTTTAATGTAGATAATATCGTTTGTAAAAAAAAAAAACATAGTTATCTAATATTTGTAAGAAATAATCGAACAGTTGGGAAATTAGCAAGGGAGTTGGACATTTTCGTAAAATGGAAGGAAGAATGATGAATCAAAGCATCGGAACGAGCCACAGCTACCTCTCTGTCAATCTTATCTCTCCGGAAAATAGCAGGTACCTTTGTAAAGGGCGTGGGTCCTAACCTCTACGGGGCCCACAGATTCGCTGGCAGCCACAAAAACTGACAAATATGACCGGTTTGCGTTCTGTAACCCATTTAACGGTTGCGTAAAGAATGCTCCGGAGTTATCTAGCCGTTATATTTACAAACCACGTGGCAGTTTGTCCACCGGTGCTTTTATTGTAGTTATAAATTTTTTCTTCGTTAAAAACAAAATTGAATCATATTATTCTTAATTTACGGTGGGATTTTACTTAGTCTCCCATCACTTTGGTGTTGAACTATTTTCTTGGTTAAATCGGAGAAACCGAACGAAAAACAATTCCACTAACTCTATCGTATAAACCCCACCGTATCTAACTACTGACCATGGGAGCCTGAAGAGTAAGGATATAATTTCTAATTTAACAAAAGTGTATTTTTACTCACCATTTTAAGGTGATAATAATGTTCGTCATTCTCAAACGATGAAAATGCTCGCTCCTTTATTTACGTTAGATGAGTGAAAATTTTGAAATTATTGTATATACATTGCACAAATTTCAAAATATGAATTTATTTAATAATAAATAAAATAATAAGCATCACCTAAGGATGGGCAAAGGTTATGACAGGCAGATAACTGCAATTATTTACCTATAACCGTTTATGCTCATACCAGTATAACCGTTTACCTGTTGGATAATTGCCTAAACGGTTATACTCATAACCATTTATAAATGGTTAACCATATCCATAACCGCATACATATTTAACCGTAACCATTTAATACCCGCTTTATTATTTTTAACTCATTTATCTTCTTCTTTTTTACCATTACTCCTTTTTTACAGACGATATTTTTAACTGTTACCAATGACGGTAATATAATATTTGCTAAGTATTCTTGGGTTACGAAAACTGTTTAGAAGACAGTATTCTTGGGTTATTTAACCCATAATGTAAAGTATTAACATAATATATATAATGAGCTACATTATATTATAATTAGCTATATAAACCATGCACTATATTCAATAGCATTGATCTAAGTTTTGTTCGATAGAGAACATTAGGGCTGGTTTGGCATGGGATATCAAACCGAAACTAGTATCCCGAATTCCAAACTAATATTTTTCGGGACGGAAATTTGAAAACCAATCTCAAACTAATTTTTCGGGAATCCCAAATTTAGGAAATCTCAAAAAAAATTTGGAAATTCAGAGCAAATCAAAAATCCTAAATTAAAATATGAAATTATGAATTGCTCTTCAAATCGAGAATCCCTAGTTTCCCACAATCTTTGCTAGAAGTCAGATCTTGAAGGCAGAAGATGAAACTAGTTAATGATAAAACGATCACAAAAGACTATGAAACATAGTTTGGGCTGCTCCAAGGCGCTCCCAAAATATCCTATATATTTCAAAGGATAAAGACGTGTAAGCAGCTGCAATCAATTCACTTTACTTTTTATTTTGTCTTTATAGTTAAAATTCAAAATTTTCAAATCATTTTCATTAGTTTTCTTCTCAAAATAATGTTCATTTTATGAGAACTCATCAAGGGTACTTTGGGTATAAAAATAGAGGGCCATGCATGTTCCACGATGTATCGATCAGGTACCTTCCAAACAGACACATCATCGACGATGCTTGTGAGTGCACCGAATCTCTATCTGCAACAAAAATGGATGGGATGACATGACTGATGCGGACAAACCAACTAATAAAGGCCAGGCTACACGACATCTCGATCCTTGGACATGAATTCTTATCAAATAAAAGAAAATTAAACTTTCTTCTTTCTACTTTTTTTTCCACATACCACCACCGTTTTCTTTTGTTTTTCTGCATATAAGGACCACAACAATTCAACTTCAAGTCCCCGTCGGCCATAAGAATAATTAATTCAAGAGAATGCATGTCCAGCTCAAATCTTCTGTTTTGATTAAACACATGTTGCATGGGAGACACATGTTCTATGGTGAACCCACATGAACTTAATCTCGCTTGCGAATGTTCTTCTGATCCATTCAAATTAGGTCTTAAATATTCTTCCAACTCATTTAAGCAAACTTAATCCGATGTTTAATAAATGTTCAATACGCAAAACAATAGCTAACTATTTTTGCATGTCCTCGATTTGGATACATTTTTCTTGTACGTTCACCACGAAAAAAGATCTTCTCGTCTTGTTTAGTCGACCAGCCTACGAAGCTTGATGCATTGCATGCAAAAATAATCCTAAAATTTTCATGCATTTATCATATTTTTAGTCATCATTTGGATGTGTTCTTAATCTCAAGTAACCAAAATAAAGTATGTATTGGACCCATAACACATGGTTCAATATTTAGTTAGCTAATTCAAGTTTCAGCCATTGAATTGAAGCATTGAAACCAATGAAGTAAAAACATAAACCACTTTCTCTTGAGCTGAATGATTGGTTCAAGGAAGAATGCTGCACGCCTGCTCCCAACTCTTAAAGCAAACCCTAAACCCACCAGTATAAATGAAAAGCATTGTTAGAGAGATTAGATTTGTTGATAAAGTTTTGAAAACTAAAAGACATAAAAGTTGATGATTGATTTATTAATTATACGTTGGTAAATATACTTATTCTTACTGATGATAACTTATTTAATTTGTAAATCGGATTTTCAAATTTAATTTTTTTAGGATTACCCATACAAAAATGGTCCCATCCCAACCCAAATGCTCTCTTCCTCCATCATCAGATAAATTAAAGAAAAGCAAACCCCACAACCTCTTAGAGAGAGAAAGAGAAATGGGAGAGAGTGGACAACATATGACCGTTGTAGGGCGTGACCTAGTTGGATGCCAGGCTGACTTATTTCTTAGGGTAACCTCCCCAAACCCCTTCCCTCTGTCACTCCCCCAAACAGTCGCAGAGATGATGACGCTCACATGGTCTTGCTGTACTCCCTGGGTCCCACCTTCACCTTCACACTTTCTCTCTCCAAAAACCCTAGAATACAAAAGCCAAAATACCCTTAAACTCTCTCTCTCTCTCTCTCTCTCTCTCTAACATTTTCCATAATACCCAAAATGCTCCTACCTTATCCATTAATGTACCGTTTCCCTGCCCTTAGTCTTTAAAAGACACCCCCGCAGCACCTCGCTCTCCCAAAACCTCCAGAGCTTTTTTTCTCTCCGTCAAAAACCCCAAGCGCCTTCTGAGTTCTCCACCTGTCTGTGAAAAATGTCCAAGGAAGTGAGCGAGGAGGGACGACCCCACCACCATGGGAAGGACTACACCGACCCACCGCCAGCTCCCCTCATCGACTTCGACGAGCTCAGGCGGTGGTCCTTCTACAGGGCCCTCATCGCCGAGTTCGTCGCCACCCTACTCTTCCTCTACATCACCGTAGCCACCGTCATCGGCTACAAGAACTCACCCGGAGACTGCGGCGGCGTTGGCCTTCTTGGCGTTGCCTGGGCCTTCGGCGGCATGATCTTCGTACTTGTCTACTGCACCGCCGGAATCTCTGGTAAACTTTCCAACAACCCACCTGTTTTTCAGCTTAATCCTTAAAACCCATGTCGATTTTTATCCTTTGGGTGCTTGATTCCTGATGGTGTTTGCCGTTTTGGTGTTTTCCAGGTGGTCATATTAACCCAGCTGTGACTTTTGGCCTTTTCTTGGCCCGCAAGGTCTCGCTTATTAGAGCCGTGGCTTACATGGTGGCCCAGTGCTTGGGAGCTATCGTCGGCGTTGGGCTGGTCAAGGCCTTCCAGAAGCACAAGTACAACTCCGTCGGCGGCGGCGCCAACTCTGTGGCTAGTGGGTATAGCAAGGGCACAGCTCTGGGAGCTGAGATCATCGGCACCTTCGTCCTCGTCTACACCGTCTTCTCGGCCACCGATCCCAAGAGGAGCGCACGCGACTCCCACGTGCCTGTAAGTCTCTCATCAACCTCGATATATTTATGGTTTCTGGTTTTTGGGCCTTAGAGATGTTGCTGATGTATGCTGGGTTTGTGCTGGGTTTGCAGGTTTTGGCTCCACTGCCTATCGGGTTTGCTGTGTTTATTGTGCACCTCGCAACAATCCCCATTACCGGAACTGGAATCAACCCAGCAAGGAGCTTCGGCGCTGCTGTGATCTACAACAACGATAAAATCTGGGATGAACACGTAAGAATAAGAACCTCATGCCGTTTTTGAGGTGTTTCTGATTATATTTTGAGTTTTCAACTAATGAGTCTTTTTATTTTTTTGTTTTTTTTTTTTACTTTGTATTTTTGTGTGTAGTGGATCTTCTGGGTCGGACCATTTGTGGGAGCACTGGCTGCGGCGGCGTACCACCAATACATTCTGAGGGCGGCGGCAATCAAGGCGTTGGGATCCTTCCGCAGCAACCCAACCAACTAAAACAAAGATTGAAGAAAAGAAAGGGGCTATATTAGTGTTCTGTTGATATTTTGTTCTCAGTTTGTTAGTGTGTATTGAGAGGATGGATGATGATCTTTTTATTTTTTGGTAGAGTGGATGATGATCTTTCAATCTTTCTGGTTTCTCTATTTATAATTTAGTTACTTAACTTTAATTAGCTAGATGTGGATGATGTTCGTTAATTATTGTTTATGAGTAGTGCTGTTTTCTTTCTATGATGTTCATGATGTTCATTTATATCTTCTCTCCTCTCTCTACCTTAATCTACCTATTTACGCTATCTATTTAGTGTTCCTCGCAAGCAAATTACTCAAAACTCCATTTCATAGTTTTAAAACACTTGCAAACTACCGATTCAATGGAAAATAAACCCTCGTTTTGTTAGTATGAGAAATGTTAAAAAGATTTTTTGCAAAGTGAAATTCTCTGTTAATTTTGTCACTTCACAGTTTAAATCAATTTCTGTCTGCTCTCTTGTTTGGTTGGCACTCAAATTAACGTTAAATTGTTTCATGAAGAGTTTTTAGAGTCCTTACTTTGATAGAGTTATCTTAGTATTTCTCTTGTTAGCTATATATATAAACCCCCATTTCGTTTTCGTAGTATAAAAACACTAACACCTGAAACCCTAGCCAGTCTTCTTTCTCTAATTTTGATAAAGTGTTTTACGCTTATTATCGTTATATGGGGTCTAAGCTAGTTAATTAAGTAATCTAATTAGATCTTGGAATCACTAAAGTAGAAAAGCATGGACTTTGTTTACCTAATGACAAAACCAAATGGATGCGCTGTCCCCACTAAGCCAAAAGTTTAGTCCAAGTTGCTCTCATTAGGCAAGCCTAAAAAATTTAGAAGACTAGCTTAGTAGCCCTCTAATCTCTCTTTTATACCTCTACATGGTTCCCCCTTCGTGGGATTCTTGTGTCGCTGGCTTTGGATTCCAGTGGGTTAGTGCCAAGTGTCCTTTTCACGAACAGTACCCCTAAACCGAAGGGTCTGCAGGGTTCCAGTTAGTGAGTGAGTCCGCTGCTCTACCCGGTGGTTTCTTTCTTCTTGGCTTTGTGTCTCTCTGGAAAAGTCTGACACGATAAGTGTTGGTCCCAGTTTTGGGAGCAGGGTCCAACCAGTGGGACTAATCCAACGTAAAGTTGGAAAGCGAAAGCAGCATGGGATAATTTTTCACGTCGGATCTCTTTCATTAAGGTTATCGAATCATTTGATTCAGACTTTTTAAATTTCATTTAATGGTAAAAAATTATTACAATTTTTAAAAAATCAAAATAATTGAATGAAATTTAAAAGAAAATGATTCGATGATCTTAATGAAAAAGATACGGAGATGATCTCCTTTTATTTTTCAGGACCACAAAGTCCGGACTGGACTGAATAGGACGAGACTATTACGAGTGATTCCGTATGGGACTTGCATGAGAAGCCATGTCATAATCCGCTATGTCTCAAATCAATTTGAGGTATATCAACTAAACAATCTCGTAACAAAATTCTTTTGGTCAATCAAAAAGAGATTGAATATATCAAATTAACCCTATCAACAAAATAAAATAATCAAAATAAAAATTATGAACAGTAATTAAGCACAAAGTAATTTTACTGTTTTTCTTCACCGAGTTTGACAATCAAGTAAGCATATCAATTGCTCCTACTTTCCCTTTAACATTTCTCTTCCAAATAAAATACATTTTTAGTGACGAAATAATTATTAAAAAACGGTCGTTAAAGATATGAATAACTTCTTTAGCACGAAAAATCATTTAAAGGTCATCACCAAAAAGTTTTAGCGATCATTTTATGTTTTCACTTAATAAGTTTTATTTTAAAATTTTAGTAAGCACATGCAAAGCATAGCATGTGTACAATTGCTAGTATTACTTACGAGAATTAAGAGATATTTTTTCTTTTCTTTTTTTCTAGTTAAGAATACAAATGAATGGGATGCTTAGTATTATGATCTAGTGATATTTCTCTTCATTCGTAAATAAGAAGTATTAGGTTCGATTTTCGCTAAAGGCTAATTTGAACCACATTATTCCTAACTTATTATGATGTTAAGCCCACCTATCTCCCTTTTAGTAAGATAATATTGTTTGTTAAGAAGAAAAAAAATACAAATGAATGGTACAAATTTTAAGATATCTAATAAGGTATAAAAAAAATATAAATCTTGATTTAAAGTGAGGCCAAAGACGCATGCCTTATTTGCCTTACACAACAAATTAACCACACTGCTAACGTTGTGAAATAGATATAATGATATGATTAACTAGTATTAGAACGTTTGAAATAAATAGTGCAGTATTATTGTAACGGATGAATGGTATGCAATGCAGTGCAGCTTATCAGAGGGGACGTTAAGGGGGAGCGAAAGGTGCGGTCACACAGGTCCTTAAATTTGAAGTTCCTAAATTTGAAGGGATCCCAAAATTTTTGTCATCTAATATTATGTAATAATGTTCTATATTTTTTATAAAAAAAATTGATTTTGTTAGTACTTGTAAGAGTAATTTCTTTTTTATTTCTAAATATAAAAATTTGGAGTACAATGATGTGTGCCAGTAATAACACCCGAAAAACGATATATATAATAATATTATATGTTCAAGTGAAACTTCAAAGTTAGAGTTTTGAAGTTTTTTGTTTTTCATGTTTGGTTGTTTAAGAATGAACTGCGTTTGATTATTTAATGAAGGTTATATTTGTAACTCTATTTACTTATAATTAATGACATTTGTAAACTTGCATTCATTGAGTGTAAAAATTTGTTTTGATTTAAGAGACTGTTTTCTAGTATCAATACATTATTATTATTTTTAAACTATTTTAAGAAGGGGCCCTCTTTCAAATTTCGCACATGCCTTCAAAATCTTAGAGACGGCTCTATAGCATATTGCAATTGTCACATTGCAATGGAGTGCATGTGCATGTCAGAAAGCACGTGGGTCATTCAGTTGTGTATTTTGAATGAGGATCCTCTCCGGATCCTTTTTGTAGAGATTCCGGGATCCTCACATTGTGTCTGTTTATCATACATCGTGGGACCATAAATCATTTTAAATACTTTTATTTAAAATTAAATATGAACAGTATCCCATGAAAACTGATCACATGATGTAAGATGAACGAACAAGATTTAAAGATCCTCTCCGGATCCTCACAAAAAGAATCTGAAGGGAATCCTCATTCGTGCATTTTCACGACTTAAATATATAATTAATTATAAATTCCGTAAAAAAAGTAGGTAATTACCTTCGTGTACCTTCACTCTTATTTTATTTACTGTATGATTGGTCTCGTCTTTTCGCGAGTGTCACTCAGTTGAAGTTGAATGAAACCAAACGGTATTCGATGGGGGGAGGGATGGGGAGGGTGAAATGTTTTGTTTTGACATATGATGAATTTATCATTTAAATTTGTTATTGAATTGAGTTAAGTGGATTTACATATGCATAAAAGAAATTGTGGACATAAACAATTTAATTTTAGAATTGTTTCATATATGTTTGCTTCGGCTCGAGTAAGCGTTCTGAAGAAACTTTAGTTAAATTATGCTATCGGGAAAACAAACAAAAAAAGAACAAAAAAAGAAAAAGAAAGAAGAGATGATTCTTGACTTATTTTTTTTGGGGGGGGTGGGTGGGTGGGGCGTGGGGAAGGGGGTGGGGAGGGGACAGCGTGGTCCTGACGGTGTAAAAAAGGAACCAAAAAAGGGGCTTGAAAAATGGTATATTTGGGGGTTGTGGGTCCTTTCTTCCACCTTCATCACGAGAGATTTTTTAATGTGATCGTCACACGAAATGATACATCACGTGTTCCTATAGAAACGATGGGTTATGTGTGTTAAAAGGTTAATAACTTAAAAATTAAAATTTTCCACCATTTGCATAAAAACACATTATGTACTACCCGTGTTTCTGTTACAATTAAAAATTTCTCCTTCATCACTAGGATGCCAATGAGGCTCAGGATTGAGTTGCGGTTCAAATTTTTTGAATCAGTATTTTTAATAAGGATGACAAAATGCTCTCTAGAGGAAGATTGACTTACACTTCTTTGGATACTTCCGTCACCCGTCATCGTGATAGTTCAGACCAAGTGTGATCCTATGTGGAGAAGTGTGATAGAATACTTGTGTATCATGACGATGTCACTCTATCAATGAATTACTTTTTATACAAGGAGAAAGAGTGGAACATTGAACCTCAGGTGCATGTTAAATGATAGTTTAACTAATTGAGTTACAAACTTTTTTCATATGATCCTATTCTGACCACGTCCAACATGAAATGAACTTATAATAATGAAATTTAACTCGAGTCACTCAACTATCAGATTATAGATTATAATATCAATTGTTGGGTTACGTGACAAAATGCTTATTTCATATAACAACTAATTTTATTTTTAACAATTCATTATTTCACCTCGGATTATTCAATTCAATTAAAAAAAAATAAAAAAAATAAAAAGGGCACAAGAGCATCTCCAAAGAAATGGTCAAATTCAAAACATCAAATTTAAATTTGATGGCTGACTTGGCAATTTGACATATTATCAATATTTTCATTCCACCCAATATGCCAAAATTTATAGCTTCATTTATTTTTTTTAAACAAAAATAATAAAAGTTGGGTTGTTATTGGTTTAAAAATAATAAAGTAATACTTAAATATGCTAGCATTTAAGGTAAAGCAAATAGAATGCCTTCGGAAATAGCAAAAAATAAATTTGAAGGCAGCTTCAAATTTGACATATTTTTGTCCATATCAGCTTAGCCTTCTTTTCCATGTGACCTTTGACATCTTGGTTGGAGTAAATAGTACGTCATTTGTTACCTTTATACGTCTATGTGGCATTTTTGATATCTCCTTTGGAGGAAAAAAGGAAATTGCAAGTGTGAAACCATTGCTAGACGTATCGTTCCACATGGATTTTACCGTTGAGGTGAACCCAAAAGAAGTCTTTTACATGTCGTAGCTACAATTCAACTACCCAAGGTGAAATTTTGGTGGGTTATTATACAAAATGATCCCTGAGATTTGCATGATCAATAGAAATGGTCTCTGAGATTGAAAATCAATAGAAATGGTCCCTGGGATTGTTCACTATCCATGATTTTGGTCATTCCGTTAAAAACGATTTTGGGCAATTTTCAAAGCATTCTAACTCAATCGTTTCTTAAACAAATTCGACCCATAATATATCAAAATGAAGATAGTAAAGTGGAGAATAAGATTATGCCTATTTGGAAACTCAATGGTTGCCCTAGATGACTGGAAAATAGCCTGAAGGTGACTGGTCTGCTGAAAAATTGGAAAACTTGCCGGAAACTGGGTAAATTTTAAATGTTCAGAACTTCTTCAATACTCAACCAAATCGAGTGATTCAAAAACAAAAATAATACTTCTTGACGAGACGAAGAGAATTGTACCTTTTTCGAAGGCTAACTCGTTGTGGTTTGGTCGGACAATGGCTCGAAAATGGCTAACCATTTTTGAGTTAGCCACTTTCGAGCAGTTTTCCGGCCAAACCACGGCTAGTTAGCAGTAAAGAAAGATATCATTCTCTTCGTCTTGTTGAGAAGTATGATTTTCGTTTTTGAATCACTCGATTTCGTTGAGTATTAAAGAATTTATGAACGTTTAAAGTTTAATTAGTTTTCCTGCGGACTAATCACTTTTCAGATTATCCAGAGCAATCATTGGGCTTCCAAATAGGTATAATCTTGTTCTACACTTTCTTATCTTCATTTTGATATAATATGGGTTGAATTTGGTTAAAAATCAATTGAGTTACGAAGCTTTGAAAATTGTCCAAAAAGTTTTTAACGGAATGAACAAAATCATGGATGGTGGACAATGTCAGGGACCATTTCTATTGATTTTCAATGACCATTTCTATTGATCATACAAATCTCAATCATCATTTTGTATCATAACCCAATTTTGGTGGCTTCACTATGCGACGGTTTGGTGTAGTACCAATTTCAACTACCCTATATTTTGCTTTTGTTCATTTCTTTTTCCTTAAAAACAAGCAAAAGAGAAAAAGAAAAGTAAAGGGAAAAGCCTTATCCTTGTAATCAATCAAAGGGAAAAACACGTCTGATGAATCAAAGATAATCTCCTTTTCACTTTCTCGGTGAAGGAAAGAAAAGGGCCAATAATCTGAGATGCCCAACAAAATAAAAGCACTGCAAAATCATGAAAACATGTAGCTAGAACATGTGAGAGTTTTAGTAGGTCCATCATAGAAAATTCTTGGGTGTTCTAGAATTATTCGGTACTTCGAGTGTTTTAACTATTGGATTTTGATTTTTTTGTATTTTTGAATAAAGATCTAACCGATAAAACACATGGAGTACCAAGTACTCCGGAGCACCCAAGAAAGTCCCGGTCCATTATATTCACCTCATGGAAATGGTAGTGTTATTTACACTCCTTTTACCTCCCACACACACTCATTAAGTTTTATCCATGAATCGTTTTCAATTCATTCGATCCAATAGCCAAAAATTGAAGTAAGTGTGTGAGGTAAAAATAAGTATGTAGATAGTACCGTCCTTTGGAAAATGCAAATTATTCATGAATTTTAAAGCCTTTTTAAACAGGACTCAATATAGAAAGGTTTGGTTACCCATCACATGGAACCAATCTTTATCAGGTCTCCAACTGATATGACTTGTTTAATTCAAGCGCTTAAGAGTTAAGATAATGCTGATAACAGCAATTCCGTATATTCTAAAACTTTCCATATAACTGTCTAAATTCCAACCGCAATCAGACGGATACGAATTGACAGTCAACTACAATGCAGATGAGTAGATAAGAAATATCTGTTTCCACATGAAAACTTGCTACGCCACTTCAACTAGAACAAAATCTGAATATCACAAACCATTTCACCTTAGTTCCAACATGTATTCTATTATTACAATTCATCGGCACCGAAGCTGCCAGTAGCAGTAAGCCGAGGGAATCATAAGTTCCCGTCAGCCAGTTGACTTTCACAATTAGACAAACATCAAAAGGCAGTGCATTTTGCTACGTTTACCTTAGTCGGGCAATGCAGTTCCGCGCTCAAGATTGTTTTTGATTTCCAACGTGTATTTACCAAAGGCTCGCTCAATCTTCTTGTTGAAATGCTCATTGCGGTCATTGATCGAGTCAATATCTTTCTCATCGTGGAACCTCCTCCTCCTGCTGAAGGAAGCCTTCTTCTCTTCCCGATCCTTGAGTTCCTTCACCATCTTGTCAAGTTTATCCTCTGATATCTTTGGAGCCTGCACCATAAAAAATAAATTTTAGGGGTTTGAGTCCAACTTCAACAGGAGTACGAGGAACCATCAGATTTCCTCAAAAGAAAAATACCTTCCCATATTGGAGGCTGGAAGCTTCACGATAGAACTCCGGATCAGCTTCTTTCATCCTATTGTATTCTTCCAAGTCAATATCAATGTTCTTCGTCCGCTTTTTGTATGCATTGTACAGAGTTTTCTGATTGAAAACTGTCAAACAACATGTCAGCTCACATTTTGGATTTACATATCTATAAAACTACAAGAGCAAAATTGGATATCAAATTCATCTATCTACAATGTCTAGTCTTAATGCACCACAACTGGGCAATAAAGAATTGTGACGTGCGTGCAAGCAAGCATAAAAGTGAACAGTTGACAATACAATATGTACATACCCCAATTAGTATTCGGTCAAGTTGCATACCCGAAACTTTTGGAGGGGAAGTATACATACCCTAATTAACTAGAGCATATGTATAGCATAGAATCGAACAAATAGTTAATCAATCTAGGCTTCTCTAGCTCTTGCTCTTGCTTAACCCTTGGTTAAGCAGGTAATTCCTTTCCCCATACACCCTAAATATTCATATCTATTGTTCATTAATGTTAACCTAAGCCATTCCAGGTTCCATCAACAAACTTTCTCTAAAATCCTATGACAACAAAAGCAGATTGAGCTTGATAAATACAGCTAGAAGTATGTTTTGTAACAAGGGAACATGAAGAGCACATGTATTAACAAGGAACTGAGGAGAAAATCCAAAATTTTAACCAAAAAACAAAGAACAATAAATTACTGAGCAGAAATTGCAGAGCATACCATCCCAGCCAACTGGGGCAGGATCCTTTTCCCATTTCTTATATTTTTCCTCTGCCATCTCTTGCGTATCTAGCATGTATGCACTTTTCATATCCAAACCATTGGCATCTAGAAGTTTGCCGATTCTTTTCTTCCTCTCTTCAACCCATTTTTGTTTCGAAATTCCCCTGGACTCATGTCGGGGTTCCAGTCTTTTCTTTTCGGCCGTAATCTCCGTTTGATTTTGTTTCTTTGCCTCACCCTATGTAAAAGTTACAGTTAAATAAACAGACGAAAGAATGGAACAGCTTTCTATTTAAATATCTGATCAACTTTGCAACAGTGCCATCTACTTCATAAAGTTTCAGAAAACCTTACCAATTTCTTCCTCAATTCTGCCAATTTTCTCTTCCTCCCTGTTAAGTTTTGGAAGTCTCCTTCTATATTCTCCTCGAGAGGATGGGCATCATCATCATCAGCATGTTCTTGAGGATAGGCATCGCCATCATCAGCATGTTCTTCAGGATCTGATTGGATTTGAGGCATTCGAGCCTTGGCTTCGGCAATAACTGTAAAGCAATACTCGCTGCATTCATGGTATGGATTGGATGCATTTCTGCAATCCGGGTGAACTCTTTGCTCATCAGACATATTTTCCGCCCTTCGAACCTTCTATATCTTTGCTGCTACCTGAAATATATACTCAACCAATTAAACCTAGCTCCTGAAGTTCCTTTCTAGTATCCAACAAAATCCCAAAAATCCGGTGCTTTGTGCAAGACCGACCAACACAAATCAGAAAATCACAACCATCACTATGTTTGGCAGCCGAGAAAATTGAAAAGGATACAAGAACGAATAAATACTACAAGTTCTAGAAAACTAAGATACAATCAACAAAAAGTAAAGGGACTGGATGGAATTACAAAATTAAGCTTACTAATTTACTTAATTCGAAAAAAAAAGGAAAAAATTTGAACAATTTTAATGTCATTGTTTTATTTTGCTTAAACATTCATCGAATTATCGGCAACCAAACCAAATCTGACTCAACCCAACAACCTACAGAACAATGCAAAATCAAATCTGAAAGAAATTGCGAAGATAAAGGGATGAACCTGCGCAAAGATTTGATTCGATTGGCGAGCTCACTGCTTCTAGATTTAGGTTTTGATTGGGGAAAGAGGATGAAGAACAAATGGCTTAGGACTAACGCGCGAATTGGACGAATGAGATTCGAAGAAAAAGAAAATTCCTTTTTGCTTTTTTATATATTGGACGGCGGTGTGGTTGTTTTTCTGAGTGGCCCAACATGAAGAAAATAGAAAGGTTGTGATAACTAGCCCAATCAGCCCATACTCCAGCAGCATGAGAAATTTTTAGGTACGGCTACTCGTGCCACGCCACACGTCTAAAATGAGAAATTCTGGCGTCCAGTAATTGGACCACGTGTTTGTGCGGACCTAGATAAAAAATAACCCACCCATCCCCTAAGTTGTCATGCTAACTTTGGTCCTACTCCTTGTAACAATCCCTAATCTGGCATTCGCGGAGAAGGTCTTCTCCTTTAAGACACAAGGAGGCTACGCATTCTGACGATCAAAATGGGTCAATTCGAAATCTGAATGTAGGAATTCCTCTGTGTATGTCAACAATTGACATAAAATGAGTGTCTCCATGTACGAATCTTTCCATCGGCGCACAAATTTTCTACCAAAAATATATCAATATTTCAATTCGACATCCTAAAATCAAATCTCACATCCAAGTAACCCTAGAATAAATTTGACAAAATTGCTACAAGTATGATCTGATCAGATTTCTCCCCCAAAATTTCATCAAACCCCCCTCCAATGGCCTAAAATCCCACGGGACAAAAGTGTTACAAGTATGGGCTTCAGTTGTCAAATATGGCACAAACAAGAACCCTAGGAGTTTATAGGGGCATTATGCTAACAACGGCTCCTTTCTATATGTACAGCTATTTAAAGCGGTTGAGACCATTTAACTCTCATTGGAAATCCTGTATTCGATTATCTCTCCTCCCATACTTGTCTACATAAAAAGATTGTTGAAGTTTAAGACCATCTCCAAATGATAAGTCAAATTTTAAAAATAAAAATTTATTTTAGAGGCTTATGTGGCACTTTGACTTTAAAAAAAAAATTTATTTTCCACTCGATATGTTAAATGTAAAGTATTATTTATTGCATTATTTATTTTTCATAATTGTAATAAGCATTTTTAAAACAAAAAACCATAACAAAAATAATGAAAAGCACATTAATTACTAAAAATATATTTGAAATTGCTGTCACCAACAACCTTTGTTGTCAATCCACATGATGCCACATAAGATTAGCATTTCAGTTGAAAAACACTAATGATGTCTTTCTTTACCGTAATTGTTGATGTGAATTGTTTGACTCCTCATTTGGACATGCTCTAATCAAGACGATATAAACAGTAAACATCATGCACAAGGACAAGAACTACGTAAACTTTAAATGATTTATTTTTCAACTACTTTCTTCTAGCTTTCTTGTGTTCATATATATGAAGCAGAAAAAATAAAAAAATAAAAAATATAAAAGTGACATGATTCTCAAATCACCAAGTCAGTAGGGTTCTACAACCCCAGCATCCTCAAATCATTTTGAGTACAAGTACCAGATAGCGAAACCGACACGATACATCCTACATTTACTTCATAGCTACAAACATAAAAGGATGTACCAGACTATCGTTTCAACCTTCATAGCATTTTATATATGACCTACATATTACAGGTTGCAGTTGCTTGCTTCACAAGACCTTGTCCAACAACGGTTTACTCGGAAGATTTTCGACCTTGGACTTCATGTTACTAACACTGTCGCTCAAGACGGAAGATTTAAGCTCGAGCTCCCGCAGGAGGGCTTTCATTTCAGCAACTTGCTTCTTGGTATTGACAACCTCCTTTTCTTTCAGAACCAGAGCCTCAATTTGCGGTTCAAGTTCTTTCCTTGTGGATTCTAACTCACGGTCGCAGTTTGCCTTTGCTACTTCGAATGCTCGATGCTGATCGAGGAGTTCAATGGATTCTGCACATTCGTTGATCAGAAAGCGGAGCCAACCAACATCCATTCCCGAAGATTCTACATCCTTAACCATAGATAACATTTGTTTGACTTTAGGCTTTGTCAGCTCCTTAATCGGCGTTCGCTTCAACTCTTGGACTATATAACATACACACTCGAGATAATAAGAGCGCATGGCAACTGATTCCAATTGACAGCTTGCGGCTATATCACCATATTTTTCCATGATTGACTGGAGAATGGAAGAGAAACTTCCTTTCACACGGTATTTTCCCACAGAGACACTGGCATCAGAAATAACAGATCGTGTATCGTCATCATCACTATCTTCAAAAGCATGGACAGTACCTGAGAAACTAAATCTTGAGTCGAAAGCTGATCCAGTAGAGCCTTCTCCTACATTGCTGACAGTATGATTTGAATCAACTCCAGGTGAATGATTAATATTTTCCTTGTCTTCCCCATTACTGGGTGGTTCACTAGCGACGTAGATAGCACCATTCTCTCGAGGGTGTTTGGGATTTTCAGGCTGTCAGAGGGAGAGATAGCATAAGAAAGGAGTCAAAGTGATACAAAAAAAATAATAATAATAAAATAAAAACAGAATTAGTAACGAAATTGTGTGAGAGATGGGGTGGAGAAAGAGCACACCATTGTGATAATTCCAGATGGTGGCACTAATAGAGAAGACGGAACTTGATCCTTGTTGAATGAAGCATCTTTTACTTCAGCAGACAGTGGAGAATAAGATTTATGCTCACCATTCCCTATTTTAACCTCTTCCTTAATTTCACCGGATACATTGTCAAGCTCTTCAGGGCGCTTTGGTCTGGAACCAGGCCTTTGTCTGCCAAATATAGGATCATCAAACACGGAGCCTGCAATTAAAGCGGACCAGATGTTATGAAATAATAGCATGAATACGTCACCATCCATGTGTACGTCTACATGGGAGGTGGAAGAGGACTGAATAAATAAATCCACAATCTCAGGTAGAAGAAGATTTATGCTCACCATTTTCTACTTGCACTATTTCTTCAGATCGAGAATCAGAGGGATAAATTACACCTCGACCAGTTGCATTCTTAAGCTCTTCAGAGGGCTTTGGCTGAGATCCCTGCTTCCTTCCGCCTAATATAGGATCATCAAGGACACAGCCTGCAGTTAAAACACACCATAAATTATGAAAAAGAAGTGTGATTACATCTGCACCCATGAGTATGGCAGGCGAAAGAGGAAATGAATAAACACATTCACTATCGGTCAGGTGAAGGGAGATTTACGCTTACCGTTCTCTAATCTCACATTTTCCTTTGATGAAGATGACTGAGCATCTAAATGATAAATCACACTTTGGACAAGCTCCTGAGGGGTCTTTGGTCGGGATCCCTCCTTTTGTTTGCCCAATATAGGAATATCAACTATTGAACCTGCCATTCAAACAGACCATTAAAAAGGTGAACTGGGATTACAGTCCATGTGTATCATGTGCATGACCAGTGCAAGGGGAATGAATAAATTCACATTCCGGTTATTCCCTGCACAACCACAAAAGAGCTTCTCTTGCCCAGGATCTCATAGAAATTCAAATGAAACATTTGTATTCCAGTGCAGAACCTTGGGCATTCTTAAGGCAAGCGTGAAAGCAAATTATGCTTATTGCATTGTGGATTGGCTATGAATTGATGGCATTCCTAGGACAGGGGAATGAAGTGCTGTCGGTTTTCCACACCATTAAGAATGGCAATGCCATGAAAGGATAAATGAAGCGATGGTGAAACAAAAATATGTTACTTGGGAAGAGCATCTAATTGTTGTCAACTGGAAAACATTGGTTTGACATATGGAATCATTTGCAGCTTGCTACTCTATCTAGCTTTTCTATTGTTGCAGTTCAGAAAAGGGAAAATGTACATATAACTAAACAGTCTATTGAGAAGTCACCACACGAAAGCAGGGAAAAACCTGATTCTTTTTTGCCCCCACGAGGTTCGGCACCAACGGCTCTTTGGCGGAAGAATTCAGGGTCATGGTAAGGATTGGATGCTCTTTTCTCTTCAGCCCCCCTTTTTTTGTGCTCACCATATTTAAAACTGCTGCCAATATCTTTGGAAAAGAAACAAAATGAGAAAAAAAATCTAAAATCTCCAACTTATACTCAGAAAATGCTTAAAAGAAAAGACCCTTGAAGAAGAAACTTCTCAAAACCAATAATCCAAGGCAAGAAAACAATCTCGAACCAATAATTCACTACACCTCGTAAGGCCATGCTATTTTCTAATCAATCAAGACAGTAAGACACATCTTCACGGATAGATTTTGAAAGAGAGCCGCAAGCAATTCAAATTTAATAGAATTATATGAATGAACAATTGCCAATCACTTAACACAAAACACAGACCAGATAATCCAAGCAGTAAAGATATGAGCAATAAGCAATGACATGAAATGCCTGCGAAAACACGGGCGTTCACATGTTGCAACAAACCAGTCAGAATTCATATTGAAACCAAATGCTTTGATCTCGAAAGTACGAAAGCATTTTTTAATTGCGGTTAAATAAAAGTAAACTAAAGTGCTCAAATAATTCCTGAACCAGATTAGTAATCAGTTTGGTGATGTTTTTTGTGCAGGGACTAAGAGAATCCATGTTGTTTAAGAACAGAACAATAACACAAACCTGATTTCTTTTTCGTCACCTTTCGGCCCTTCCCTTCAGCAATCTTTCTCAGGCAAATTTCAGTGCATTCATGGTAGGGATTGACTACATCAACACATTCGGGGTGTATTTTTCCGATCAGAGACATGTCTCTATTGAGATCACCTACAACCCTGCAAATCATAACTCCATTAAACAATTTTGAATTTTTATTAACCAGAGACATAGAAGGTTCTGAATTTTTTTTTTTTCAAATTAACAAACTTTCCTCAAGAACTTGGGAATAATCAGCCGAGCATAAAACTGAAATCCAATAATTCTTTTCAAACCAATAAAAAAGTTTTTTTTTAATTTTTTTTTTAATAAACCATGAAAATGTACTCTCAGAAACTCTTGCAACTTCAATAAATTTTCATTTGGTTGATGATAAAACATAGAAAAAGAAAACTAAAAAGTTGAACCTTTCACAATCAGGCAAATAGCAAATAAAGCTAACAAGAATATCAACGTGCACCATGCAATTCAGTTCAATTCAATTCAACCAGTTAGCTAAGCTGCCATGGTAATCCTTTCACATGATAAGAAAACCCAAAAACTGAAATCACAACAGAAACTCAATACCATTGGACTTCCCCACCTTTTCTCAGCAACCAAACAGAGTATGAAAAGCAATCTTCAAAAACAAGAACATGCACACACCATTTCCCAAACTTTGTCATCACCAACCATAACATCATTCATAAGCATACAAATTTCAACCTTTCTAACAGACTCCCACGAACACAAACATCAAAAAGCCACCAAAACCAACAAAAACAACAACCAAAACAAAATTTTTACGGGCCAGATTGAGAGAAAAGACCTTGAATTCAATTGGGTTTTCTGGGTTTTCGGCTTTTGACCGTCTGGCGATTCAAAAAGATAAAAGGAGGCGATTTATGTGTGAAGCGCAGAAAAAAGGACTAACGTTGGGGGAAGAGCTCTCTTGTTTTGACCATGGCGATGACTAATAAGCCTTTTTTTTTTTTTTTTTCTTGAAAGCAAATAAATAAGCCGAAAAAAATTCACAGCTCTTCCAATGTCAAAACGTTTGGGTTTTCCACGTTGATTAGTAGGCAGTCGTCACGAGACAAATGCATGTGCGACCTTTTCTTTCACGAAGGCACTTTTGGTGACGATCTGGCTGACGCTCTTGTGGTTCCTACTACTATAATTATAGCCCACCAGTTTTGTGGAGGAAAAAATGAGGATTTTAGATTTAGGTTTATGTAAAGGGTTGTGACATCTACATATTATTTTTTATTTGTCACATTTTTTTTTTTTTAGTCGTTAGATCAGATAAATTAAAAAATATTAAAGACAGAAATTAATAAAGAATGTGTGAGAAGTAAGGGTATGCTTATGTAAAATCAATGACCAAAATGCGGGCCTTAAAAGGATTTTCCTTTTAAGCCTTGGTAGGCAATGCTTTTTATTTATATTTACATTTTAGGCAATTTTTTAAATAACTAGAAATTAAATTTGAATCGCCAAACGAATAAGACACTCACCCGTCATATCACATTAATAGACACAAGTTCATCGTTGTAAACCCGCCATTTTCTTAGGTCAAATAGTTCGGCACTTAGATGTTGTAAAATTATTAAACAATCAATTATCCTTATTTCTTTGGAAATACTTTTGTAATGTATCAATATAATTTTATAAGGTATACATCCACATCGTATATACAAATTTTTTAATTTTGTTTTGGAACTTTTTCAATTGACCAAAGTGTTTAAAACGACACATAATGAGTTTGATAAAATTTATAATGATCAGAGGCAATATGTACAAACTGAATTTGGGTCATAAAATTTTAATTTGAGTAAGGTATTTGTTTCCGTCCATAATAATTAAGGTAAAGTTTGTTTAGAATCCCGTTAGATTTTTTATTTTATTTTATTAAGAAACTATTGGATTTTGGTTCCCTAATTCAAATACAAAAATAACACCCCAAAAGAAAATTTCAAAGACAATTAAATATTTCAAGTAATGGTATTTTTTTTTTTTTGTATTTGTATATTTTGGCATACTTGTAACATCCCATATCGTCCAAGAGGGTGGATCCTATAAGCCTTATATGTATATTCTCATCTCTACCTAGCACGAGATCCTTTGGAAGATCACTGGCTTCGGGTTCCATTGGAACTCTGAAGTTAAGCGAGTTCCGACGAGAGCATTCCCATGATGGGTGACCCACTGGGAAGTTCTCGTGTGAGTTCCTAGAAACAAAATTGTGAGAGTGTTGTAGGGTCTCAAAACAGACAATATCGTGCTACGGTGAAATCGAGCCCGAGATATAGTGGGGATCCGGGCCAAGATGTGACAATCCTTGTCAAGTTCTCATGTTTCACATCACATGTGCAACTTTGTTCTAGATATTTTGGTCAATATAGAAATTTTGTTATTGACCAACTGTTCAAAACATGTTTACGCTTGTATTATACTTTGTTCTAGATATTTTGGTCAATATAGAAATTTTGTTATTGACCAACTGTTTAAAACATGTATACGCTTGTATTATATTTTTTTCATTTTTTAATGTTCGATGACTTCGTTTATTAAAAAAATTCGTGCAGTGGAAGATTTTAAATTCCAGTCTTTCTACAACAAAAAATTCTCCTAAACGAAGGTAGAAGTGATTTCAAGTTATCTTAAGTATTTCATTAATAGAAAACGAATACGCCTTAGAAGCATCGGCCTTAGATCATAACAATTCGATTTGACAGAGTCATCAACATCAAAGCACATTAACATAAGCCCATGTATTTTATTTTCAAACCTTTTACCTAAAGGGATCTTATTTTCTGGTAAAGTTGGAGAATGGTTGTGGGCTCAATTTACATGGAACTTTAACAATCTGAATCGTTTAATTTTCAAGTTGCATTTTATAGATCATCATTGTAAAATATTAGTCAAATCGGAAATAAACACTACAATTTAAGGAACATTGGAATTTTACCGTGACAATCAAATGAGTAAATGATTTCGGATTAAATTGATTTTTTGTAAAGTTGATCCATGCATGAAGATTTAAAAAAAAAAAAAAAAACCTCAAATCGTTGAAGTTCGATGTACAATGAACCCCGCAACTAGTCTCTTTTCTTTTTGTGTGAAAAAATAGAAATCCCTTTATAGCCCTGTCATTCTAAAATTGATATAAGGTCAAGTTGCGTAGGTCATCCTCTGGTCATTAGAATTCAATTTCGTTTAATTAGGACATAAGTTAGAATACATAAACTAGTTCTAGAAGCTCAATCTAGCTAGTTGTATTTTGTACACAATATACCTCGCCTCTAGAAGCTCAATTTTGTCAACTTTGTACATCATCTCATCTACCTCTCGCTCAATTAATTTGCAGTAAAGTCATCATTTTACCAACCCTTTTTTCTTCGCTCCACAGAAATGGTAGGAATGCGTGGTTAATTATAAAAACTTTTAATTTATTTTTCTTGCATTTTAATGTCGACGAGTAGAATATTGGACCGCTATACTTAGGTGAGGAAATAAATAATAAGATCCCAACTGATTTTTCCAACAGTGTTACATGATCGCTTCTCTGCCAATAAACAGAAAAACAGAAAATTAATGTCACGGTCAATAATTCAGAGAGTTCAGTTTCTCCTGCAACATCTCCAATGCAAGGATTCAAATCTTATATTGGAGTTCAAATAGAAAACAAAATATTTTTAATGCATGTGAGACTTAAAACTCAAAGACAAAGTAAAGACCTATGTTTGGGTTTCAATATGAGATTTGAGTTTAAGGTAGAGCCTTTGTCGACTAAAAAAACAAAAAAAGGTAATGTTAGAGATATTAAATTTGTAGACTAAATTTGCAAACTAAATGATGTGTCACCAATAGGAAATGAGCATGCTTATCAACGTTTAAATAATAATCCAATCATCAACTTTCATGTCATTTAGTTTACAAAATTTAATATCTCTAACATTACTAAAAAAAATGTTATTCAACCAAGAAAAATGAGATTTGAGTTTTCCAATGCACATAACCAAATTATTAAACCTCAAAAATGAATTTTTAGTCAATTATTTTCTTTTTCAATACAAAGATTCGAATCTTAAGACTCAAAACGAGCCTATTAAATCGTCTCAACAAACTATATGCCTTGAATTTCTTTATTACTTTCTTTTTTGGCTTTTCATTGCAAGGAAGAGGTTTGAGTGAAAGAGGATTGTGGTGTACCACTGTTAGATATGCTGTCAACCGACAGAGAATGTGTTAGCGTGAGTTAAAGTATCATTAAGAGCTTGCTAATACTAACAACCGACGTTCAGGCTATCATTAAGAGCTTGCTAATACTAACAACCGACAGGGTATGTGTGCCACTGTTGGATATGCTGTTCAATTTTTACTTCACGTACATAATGTAATGTACACAAACGAAGCCCGTTTGCACGTTTTTGATAAATAAAAATCATTTAGCCCTTTAACAGGCCTGATTTTTATTTGTTTCCCAAACACATAAATGTATTGTAATGTAATAGCGATAAATCATAAAGGCATGATGCTTTATCAACAATTTGCTCATATACGCATGAGTGCCATTAGCACAACTCTTAAGTTCATCTTTTCGTAAGATGTCACTAGTTTTGTTAGTGCTAGCAAAGTTCACTAAACGGATAAGGGTGGTGATATTTTACTTCACACGCTCTTTCAATTATTTAATAGCTTTTGATGTAATAGCATATAAGACAGTGATTTTTGCACTATTTTACCTCACACATATCCTAACATATAATTAAATAATTAAAATAGTACGTAAGAGATAAAATGGATTGTGTAAAAATCATCACCCAGAACTAGTGACATCCTAGTGTGATTTCAACAAGAGCTTGCTAATACTAACAAAACTAGTGACATCCTAGTGTGATTTCAACATACATCTATATCCAATGAAATTAAGGGCCAGTACCATGCATAATTATATAGTTATCAAATTAATGATGGAGTATACCTTTTAAGTAACCTTCATTTTTTTAATAACCTGTATGTGGTGGGCTGTTAACCGGCCATTTCATCTAAACGGGTGACAAGTCACGAGCCCTAATCTTACACCAGATGGCACTTCCTTGTGATATTGCTTGTTTCTGTTTTCAGTTGAAACTTCCAAGTTCCCAGTAGTAAAGGTAGTTGAAACACGAAACAATATGCTGAAGCCAAACGAATAAAAGACTAGGTGAGGTAGTTAGGGTTCTAAACGCCAAATCAGGTCATGCGATTTGCCTTTCCCATAATTTCCAACTAAAATATACTATTTTTAAATATTTTCTTCTTTATTATCTAAAATATCTCACTACGTCGTTTTATTTTAAAAGAACTCGTTTGAGACATCTTTTAACAAATTAAAATGCTTATAAAAAGAGATAAAAAAAAGTTCACAAGAAAAGTTTTAAAGTGTTTCTAAATTATAATTAAACAATTTTTAGTGCTTTGGGAATGAGCACTTTCAAGTAAATTTTGTAAAACGCTTAAAATTTCAGTAAAATCACTCATAAATTTTACTAAGCGACTATGATATATTAGGTAAATTAGAGTTTTTAAAGACATTAATTATTTTACTACATTATGAAACAACTGATACATATATACATATATATATATTTGTATTGGTACCGATTGGTCATAACAATTTATATAAAATGAACCCACTTATATCATAATATGGTTTTATTTATGAGGTTGAGAAATATAGTCGTGTAGCACTGTTGAATTAAAATATATCATTTTCTTCATTGGCAATAAGGAAATAAAAACAATTTTCTCTGCTTCATGCATGGGCTGCAGTTCACCAACCAAGGTAGCTAGCCAAGCCCTAAACACGTATATATAAAAAGAAACATTTGTGAGATGGGGAGGGTTCAACTGTTTTTTAATTCTTGGTTCTCGCTCACTGGAACCCAGAATAGAATATATATTGACGACTTTGTTTCTTCTCAGCTTGCAGAGATGGGTATCTTTCTGCGATGCTGAGGTGAGGTGGATGCTGTACTGTCTTAGCTTAATTTTTGAATGATGAGTGTGAGAAGTTGTTAACAATTGCTATCGAGTAGTAAATTTTGCTTGGACCCTTCTAGCTACCCTTTTACCTTTTCTCATTAATATATTTTCTTTCTTGTTTGTTCTTTCATTTAGTAATTTTCTTTCTCTTCCCAGTGAAAACAGTCGGCTGCAATAGTATTGGAAGCAAGAAGTACTAATTGTCATCTGACTGGTAGGGTTTGCATGTTCTTCTGTTGGGTGCATGTTAGTTGACAAAACTTGTTGCATAATAATAAACAAAAAAATTTGGAGCATTGTAAGGAATTCCCAAATTATGACAAATTTTAGCTGATTCTTCAAAATTAATTCTCTGTTTGAACAATTTGAAATTAATTCCATGTCTCAATTATTGACTAACGGAATATTTGGTGCAAAACTGAGCGCAGTAACATTATAACATTCATACAGCTAACCCCACTTAGTGGTATAAGGCTTTGTTGTTGTTGTTTCGATTATTGGCTTTTCACAATTAATCATATTATTTTGCAGGTGGCATGAAAATCATTATGCAAAATCTGATTGATAGGCTTAGACCCCTTGTGTGTTTGAAAGGCTGGGATTATTGTGTTCTATGGAAATCGAGTGAAGACCAAAGGTTAATTAAGAGAGGAACTACTTAATGATCTGTTGCTAATTGAAATTAACTAAATATTACTCTCCTTATCTCATCTTTGTGTGACAAATTTAAAGATTTTTTATATTTTAATTAGGTTTATTGAGTGGATGGATTGTTGTTGTTCTGGGACTGATGGAAACACTCAGACAAATGGAGGACAAGAGCTTCTTTTTCCAGTTTATCCTGTCCTTCCATGCCGGGATATAATGCACCACTCACGAACCAATTCTTGTGATCTTCTTGCCCAGCTTCCTTCTTCCCTGCCCTTAGAATCTGGGTACCTCTAAATATTATTTAGCCTTCATTTTTTGTATATTTTTAATCATTCAATTATAATTAGTACTAAAAGTAAAAACTAAATTGTGTTTGCACAGGATTTATGCACAGGCATTAATTTCAAACCAGATCATTTGGTTGAACTCTGCTAATAGAGATTTAAGTCCTATGGTATAGTGGTCGTCCAATTCTTTTAGATATTTTTAAGAAAAAAAATCCCCTCTTTGTTGAGCATATAATTAAATGTAACTCTATACTCCTCATCACTTATTTTGCAGGAAAGAGATGAGACCAGGGTTTTGGTTCCAAGTGGTGGAGGGCTGATTGAGCTGTTTGTCTCTAGAGATGTATGATATATATGATGCTTAACTTTTAAACAGCTTCCTTTCAATTTGTTATTTTAGATCTTTCATGTAGAGAAATTCTTGCATATGCACGTCCATATGTGCCACCTCTCACACAAAAGTTGAGCCTGAGTTGGACCCAAATACAAAGGCTCACCTTTTGTATGAGAGTTGCCACATGCAAACGTTTATATGCTAGTAGTTCTCGTGTACATGATATAAACCAACTATTTGAAACATTTGTGTCCTACATAAATTTTGTGAGAGATGGGGTAGGTAAGTGTCACAATTTATAGTTTTGCCCGCAACTAACAAATTCACACATTACAATTTTTAAGTATTTGCATTTTTTTCCACTTTGACAGGTCTCTGAAGACCAACAAGTGATTGACTTTATCACTGCCCAATGCAACATTTCACATGAGCAAGATATCCTGCTTAGTGCAAGCTGCAATGCAAGCACAAATACAAGCTTCACCGTGGATATAAACAACATGAGCAATGACAGAAGACCAAAGGCATTTCTTGTAGATGATAATGGGGGAAATGATCATCTAAACAACAATCATAGTTTCCAGCAGCAACCTGTTTTTCCTGCAATGGCATTGGATCACAATTCGAATTTGCCATGCGATATCTCAGTTGACCAAATCCGCCTATGCAGCACTTCCCCAATGAATTTCCTCCTAAATAGTAACAATAATAATGTCTATAATTTTGATCAGGGTTCACATGAGTCTTTGGGAGAGATGGGGCTTCAAGCTGATACTAATGCACAAAACTTGCATAATAATATTCAAGTTCCTGAGGGAATAGAAAACATTGAGCAGCAGGTTGTGGATGATCAAGACTCAATTAAACACGAGGGTGGAAGAACTGCAGATCATTCAGCTTCAGATTGCAGTGATCAGTTTGATGATGATGGTGGCACGAATTATAGGAGAAGAACAGGAAAAAAGCCTCAGTCCAAAAACCTTGTGGCGGAGAGGAAGAGAAGGAAGAAACTTAATGAGAGGCTCTATCACCTCCGCTCATTGGTTCCCAACATTTCTAAGGTGATGACCACGGCATTATTATTATTATTTCAATTGTACTAGATGGATCTTTACACTTTCTTATGTGATAGTTGATAATTAATTAACAGTTGACAGTAGTAACTAGTGTGATAAGTATGTTGTCACATCATGTGGTCGGGCTAATGTTATATAAAATACGTGACATCTTTAGCAGAATCTAATGCCTACTCATTTTGATTCACAGATGGACAAGGCTTCCATACTCGGGGATGCGATTGAGTTCGTGAAGGAGTTGCAGAGGCAAGAAAAAGAACTCCAAGAGGAGCTTGAACAGCATTCAAATGATGGAGGATCTAAGAAAAGGAATTCCAATAATATCTGTGGAAACCACACCAATTTCCAGCCAGAAACTCTGAGTCAAAACGGAAATACCATTGCAAATAAACAAGAAAATGATGAGCTTCCAAATGGGTTTCATGTGGGAACAGCAGGAGACATTGGCAATATCTCTAAACAAAAAAACCAAGACTCAGATAGTACTAATGACAGGGGACAAGAGATGGAGGTATGACTTAATCTTATATATGTTTTGTTAATTTAAAATTTCAGATAACAAAAAGATTAATGGAATAATATGGTTGCAGCCACAAGTAGGGGTTACTCAGTTGGATGGAAATGAATTCTTTGTATCTGTATTCTGTGAGCACAAGCCTGGAGGGTTTGTGAGATTGATGGAGGCATTGGATTCTTTAGGCTTGGAAGTGACCAATGCAAATGTGACTAGCTTCAGAAGCCTTGTCTCTAACGTCTTCAAAGTAGAGGTAACCAATTATCTCCTATTTATTACTTAATTATGTAGCTCCTGACAACTGTTAATGTTAATGTTAGTGAATATTTCGAGAATCTTACTATAAAAGACAAAATCCCTCATTTAACAACTAAGTGTCAGACACACTAATTGACGGGTCTAATAATAGTTGGATCAATGAGTTTTTTTTTTCTTCTTTTTCTTCAAACCGGTGCTTTAAGTGTTTTTGACAAAACCAAGAGTTTTTATTTGTGAAAAGCACTTAAGTTTTTATTATATGTTAATTACGCAGAAAAAGGACACTGAAATAGTTCAAGCTGATCATGTGAGGGACTCCTTGCTGGAGATAACAAGGAATCCATCATCAAAAGGGTGGCCTGAGATGATTGCTAAAGCATCAGGGAATGTCAGTCCATTGGATCATTTTCAGCATGATCATTACCAACAACACCATCTCCACGATTACCATGCTTCTTCGTACCAGCTACAACATCTTTATAGTTAATTTAGCATAATCTACTAATTAATTATGTATTAAGCATTCTGATGAGAACAACTAGCGGGACAGATTATGGACATGCTCGACATGCATTATGCGGTGATTTATGGTCTTTTGGGCCAAATACATGTTTGCTAGATCAAAACTACGTTTGAAGAGTTGAGATAATTTTTCTAATTTCCCGTTTCCTCTCTATTTCAAAGCTACGATTTGGTAAGAGTTTTTAAACACCAAAACAACTTGTATTCAGACCATCATATCATATTTTCAAATATAATTTGATAGTGTTCTCATATCAAAAATACTTAAAATATCTTTTTTAATATAGTTAAAACACTATTTTGAAGAAGAAGAAAAAACATTATTTCTAGAAATTTTAAGTATTTTCAAAACTGTATTTCAAGTGTTTTAAGCACGTACAGCGATTTAAGTATTTTCAAAACAGTGTTTTGAGGAGTTTTTTTTTTTTTTTTCCTAGAAACATCGTTCCTAGAAATTCCTGTTTCTAGGACTTAACCCTGTGCTCTTTTCTTTTGTTATTATTTATTATATCCTCCTTTTGCACCCAATAACTAAGAGCCTATAGACTATTCAATATGATGCAACTTCATTATGCATGTATATGTACTTGGAAATTCGCTACATATATGTGAGGGAGCACGTTAAGAGTTTGAATTCCACGTTTAGGAAAGAAAAGACTTTGCATATACTTGTAAGGAATTTTGGATTACTCTTCATATTGCTTATTGATGTTAAAAAACCTCAACTTTCTTCCCACAAAACATGATTAATTTTAAAAACTGAGGGGCTTCTTGGAAGATCTTACACATGCCTAGCACCATCCACATTTAACTTAAAGGTCCCAGATGGAGTGAAAATGGAGGATTAATTAAAGATTCACGGTAATTGGATCACTGGTTTTATTGCTAAAAAAGGAGTTGGGGAAGTTCTCTATGCTGAGCTTTGGGTTGTTTTATGAGTTGAAGATAGCTAAAGCTAGAAATTTCTCTCATCTTATTATGGAGGTTGATTCTTCTTTGGTGGTCTCATTCATTATTTGCCTATCCTTAATCATCCTCTCTATGGTCTTGTCTCGGAATAGAGAAGTTTGATCATAGATAACTGGAGTTGTAATTTGCAACATGTTCATAGAGAGTGTAGTTTTGCAGCTGAACGGTTAGCCAAATTAGATTTAAATAGCTAAATAGATTTCCAAGAGCTTGGGCAGTCTCCTCCCTGTTTAGTTCAAACTCTTTCCGATGACTGCTCTGAAGTCGCTAGCTAAACTAGTTGTTCTTTAGGTGTTTCATTTTTTTCTTCTTCCATGTTACCCAAAAAAAGAAAAAAAAAAGATCTTACACTTGAGAATACATCACAATTAATAGAATACATAAGACAAGAGCCTAACTAATCACTAGCTAATCTGAAGTAAACAATAACAGTTTTACAGGAAGATGACGTGTGATTAACAAACTTCACTAACAATTTTACAAGTACATGGCATGTGATAACAAACTTTGACTAAGAGGTGACTTGATGAGATTATTCTGTTTTGGCAATGAGTTGGCATCTGATGTGTGGAAGATACCATACCTATATCCCTTCTTATTCCCTGTGCGATATAGGTTTGAACACAACCTAATCCAAAAGTAGGCAATTTGTGTTCACGGGTTGCCATTTCAGTTTAGGTTTCTTAGACAATTGGCCTTCCAATTTAGATTTTTTTAGTCAATTGCCCCTTCGGTTTAGTTTTTTTAGCTTTATGGAGTAGTTGAAACATGGGCAAATGCATATACCAAACCCAAGTGAATGAAAAACTTTGGAAAAGTTTCAGGTCATTCATGCAATATGCTCTCATATTTACCAAGCCATCCTGTTTAATTACCGAAAGAGAAGAAATAAAAAAAACACAAAAAGAAATTAATTAGTTTGTATAGTTTTCTATTAAGTTCTCTTTCACGCTACACTCATGCATGGACTTCAGTTCACCTACCAAACTCTCTCTATAAAAAAAGAAACACTTTTGTCAAATGCAAGAGTTCCAAATTGATTTACTTTATTTGATCAATTGACTGAAGTTATGGATCTCTACCTTTGCTTCATCTGCTTCCTCGTTTCTTCTTTCGTCCTCGTCGCGTTTTTCTTACTGACATGTGCAGGCAAAAGAGGTAGCTATATATTTTTCTTCTCTCAGTTCTTGTTATGCACTCAACTAATTCGGTAAGGTTTAGGATTTTGAAATTAATGTTTTATCGATCGTTTACAGGTGGCATGAACATGATGATGACCCTGCCAAGCCTCAGACAGATGCGTGGATCTCTAGTGCGTTTGAAAAGTTGGAAACTGAGTGAAGACCAAAGGTTATAATTAGCTAGCTATTCTCTATTTCTTCCTTTTCCCAGTGACTTTTTCTGTTTTTTTTTTTTTTTTTTTTAACGTTTACTGATGAACTGATTGTTGCGGTAGGAATGAAAAAGTACCTCAATCAAACTTTGAAGCTGAAAGGAAGAGAAGGAATAAGCTTAACGACGTATTCCATATCCTTCGCACTTTGCTTCCCAACAATACTGGGGTGATGATCAATTGCATTAAGTGTTTATTTTTATTTTCAGATTAGTATTATCAGCGTTTTCATTTAGACATATGCAGAATAATGGGAACGTGCGCTGACAGTTGATATGTTAACGAACAATTGATGTGATTAGTACGCTGTCACATCTTGTATTCAGCTAATGTGATTACAATCTTTGGGAGAAGCTCTAATATAATGCCTAATCATCTTGATTCTCAGATGGACAGAGCTTCCGTCATTGGGGACACAATTGCTTACGTGTCAAAGTTGCAGAGGCAAGTAAAAGAACTTGCTGGAGAGCTTGAACTTAACTCAAATGGTGGAGCAAAGGAAACTAGTTATATTTGTGGAAACAATGGCAATTTACAATCAGAGTTTCTACGTCAAATGGAAACTATCATTGCAAACACACCGGAAAATGAAAAGATGGAGGTATAGACTAAACTAAAATCTTATATTTTTTAAATTTGGATGTATATTTGGAGTTCTATCTCTTTAGGTGATCAAAAGAATGTGAAACTAATTGCAGCCACAAGTGGAAGTAACTGAGTTGGATGTTAATGAATTCTCTGTGACTGTATTATGTGAGCACAAGCCAGGAGGGTTTGTGAGACTGATGGAGGCATTGGATACTTTAGGCTTGGAAGTAACCTATGCAAATGTGACTAACTTCAAAACCCTGATCTTTAATGTCTTTAAAGTACAGGTAATTAACGTTATCTAAATTATCTTTAATACCCCAAGGCATTTTATTATATTTTATTAATATTAGCTGATAACTATTATGTTTGGTTGTGCAGAAAAATGACAGTACCGGTAAAATAGTTCAAGCTGATCATGTTAAGGACTCTTTGCTGGAGATAACTCGGAAACTGTCAATGGAATCCATCATAAGGGTGGCCTGAGAATCTGAGATGATGGCTAAAGCATTATATATATGGAATGGCAGATGAGTGGATCGTCACTCTTATCATGATCGTTACCAATAACACCATCTCTACAGTTACTTCGTCATACCACTTACAACATCTTTATCATCAGTCGATCATAATCTACTCAGTTCATGTATGAGTTAAGTAGGAGCATTCGGTTTCTTTCACTTCATGTCGTACGAACTTAGTTATAATGGTTATTTTAAATATACTTCATGTTTTTACTTTTATTGGTGGAGGTGGGGTTTGAACATACGAGCATCAATGAGTTCAGAACTTCTTTAAAATAACACGAAAATATGTTTTCTGATTTTGAACTTCGCAAGACGCACACATATAAAGAGCTCATAGTTTAGTATAAAATGAATATTTTTAATTTTTGTAATACTCCATTAAATTTAAAAAAATGATGTTATTTATCTCTCTAAATATTTTTCCTTAAGTAGCCGTTACCACCTACCACTACAATCACTAATCTTACATCACCATCATCATCACCACAACCATCGTTGCCGCCCCACAATTGTCACCGTAAAAACTGACTTTCCTCGTATTAGCATAGAACAATTGTACACATATTTAGACAAGCAATGGAGTTAGCGTGTTCTACAGTTACAACAGGCATGAATACAAGATAAATATAGAGTTAGAGCCTAATAACAACACAACGAAAATACATAGAGTTATTGCCTGATAACAACATCGGAAAGATCCCTTTATACGACCATAGTACTCCCTAAATAATGTTGAATTAATGCTTATGACTCCCTTAGACTCCCCCACAAACTTGACTCGGAGTAGGAGACAAGTTTGGAAACGAGAAGCTCAAAAGAGTCTATATCGAAGCCTTTTGTAAAGACATCGGCAAGCTGATGTGTGGAGGGAATGGACTAAACACGGTGACTGCCTGATGCAACTCTCTCACAAAGTTATAATCAATGACTATATGTTTCCTCCAGGCATGAAATACTGGATTGGCAGCTAAATATGTTGCTGAGAGATTTAAGAACCAGACGAGTGAGTGGACAAGGAAGCTCTTGCAAGACAACTTGGATCCATATTGTATCCACACAAGCATAAGCAAGAGCTTGATACTCCGCTTCCGCAAGAGAGCGGTAGCAACAAAGGTGTGGTAATAGTAATGGTGGTGTAAGGTTAGTTTTTGTCTTCTAAAACTCAAACTTCTCCACTTTACATCCCGAAACTCTATTTTCGATTCACGATGATTTTCGTCAACTTTGTCAATATAACTCTATTTTCGATTCACGATGATTTTTCGTCAACTTTGTCAATATAACTGATAATACTCAACGTGGCATACTCCGTCAATAAAACTGAAAATACTCAACGTGGCATGAGTGAGACCCACTTAACTATTAATATAACTGTTGAAGAAAGTTGAGGTTCCACCATAAGACCAATTGGCAATATGGAGAGTAGTCCAACTACTTATAAGCACATGCAAGGTTCCTCCTCTCATCAATATGGGATTCATTCTCAACACTCCCTCTCACGTGTAATGAATTTTCAAGCCTAAGGACTTCACACGTGGGAAAACAACCTGCTATGATACCATGAAGAAAGTTAAGGTTCCATCATAAAACCAATTGACAATATGAGGAGTAACCCAACTACTTATAAACACGTGCAACATTTCTCCTCTCATCAATATGAAATTTATTCTCAATAACTTCCACATCACAATTTTCTAACATAAAAAATTCGACCAAACCCAAACGGAAACCGACTAGTCCCTCTCTCTCCCCACGGTTCATGGATTTTTATCATGTAGTAAGATTGAGCAAATTTCCTACATGGATTCAAATTTTGGTCACCTTCTTATCTAATAATCATGGATATTTTTCCAAACTTGATGAACAAATATCAAATTTTGCATACGATGAATGCATAGAAGTTGGAGTTATAAACAATTGTCAAACGATAAATGATAAGCACACATTTTTTTAGCTTCTTTTACATTCCTACGTAATTCGGGTTGGTGGTTATGTTTGACTTAATCAAGGCTAGTTAGGAGTGCTGTGCTTTTTTTCTTTTCAAAATTGCTTATGCTTTGTTGTGAAAATAAACAGCTGTATAAAAATAAAAAATAAAAAAGATGTAAGTGTTTGGTAATTTGTAGTGCTAAAAGTGCTTTTAGCAACCACTTAAATATTACGGTCTAGTGGTATTCCTCTTCATTTGTAAGTGAGAGGTCTTAGGTTTGATTCTCGCCCAATTTGAACCACGTTATTGCCACCACCTCCCCATAGAAATATCGTTTGTTATAAAAAATAAAATAAAAACATTTTTTTTCTTTTCAAAACTGCTTATGCTTTGTTGTGAAAATAAACAGCTGTAATAAAATAAAAATTAAAAAATAAAATTGAAAAAAAAAAAAGGGTAAGAAGTGCTTTGAGCAACCACTTAGATACTACGGTTTATTAGTATTCCTCTTCACTTGTAAGTAAGAGATCTTAAGTTTGATTCTTGCCAAAAACGGATTTGAACCATGTTATTGCCACCATCTCCCTGTAGAAAATATCAATTGTTATAAAAATAAAAATAAAAAACAACAGCGCATTAGGTTTAGGAGAAAGAGTCAATGGTAGGATTGTCAATATGAAAGTTGCATCAGTCGGTTGTTCACCCACCTAGGTTTAGGATAAAGAGTCAAAGGTGGGATTGTCGACATGAAAGTTAACACCCAAGTCCAAACCCAAGGTTCAAGTTCTCCAATGTCCATCTCTTCAATCACTTTGAGAGAGAGAGAGAGACAAAAGTTTTATAAAGTGTGAGAAACTTTTGGTGATGACCAATGTGGAATAATGAGATTTCTTCTAAAAAACTCCAACAAAATAAAGTAAAACTACTAGCAAGGCCCTTCAAGAGCTAGAACATTTCTGGAATGTCCCGGATGATTTTTTTTATAAACTTATATTGCGGAAAACTAACACGAAATAAGTCTTACGATGATTTTGTAAAAAAATTTATGAAACTTTGCAAATATGATTACAAACCGCGAGTTATAGCTGATAGTTTTTTTGAAACTGTTTGGCCACTATAGGGGGTGCATGAAGGACTTTTAATCCTTAATTAATTAGGTCGAACTTCGTAGCTTAGCAGACTGTTGGGCATTTCATCTAAAAGGCGGACAATCATCCGAGCTAGCTTGCATTTCCTTCACCAACTGTTTGAATGGAATGCTCACGTATATATGGTTTCCGTTTTTGGTTTAAAGCATTTGGAGAATTGGAGTAGTTGAAACATGAGCAAATACATATCCCAAACCAAAACGAATGAAAAACTTTAACAATGTTAGTTACCACTTTGCACGCTATATTAGCTCATGCATTATGCTCCTCCCATCATTACCCAGCCATCCTCCTTAGTTATCCAAAAAAAAAAGGAGAAAAAAGAAACACAAAAAATTAATTAAACTAATTAATTGAGCTCTCTCTCTCTCTCTCTCTCTCAGAGTCATGCATGGACTGCAGTTTACCTACCAAGTTCTTGCCATATAAAAAGTGTTTTCTTCTTGATTTTATTGAAAGCTACAAAATTATGTACAAGGTTTTAGAATCTTTGTTTTGTTCTTCTGAGTTTGCTGAGGTATTGAATATGATGATGGTGCAGTTAACTATTGCTGCCAACTGAACTGATACTCTTAAGATTCTGTGTTGGAATTTGAAATCAGTTTACTCCGCGTTTTCCCCTCGCTTTTGTATTTTCAATCGTTACAGGCGGCAATGATGATCATGCCATACCTCATCCACAGGCTTAGATCTCTTGTGGGTTTGAAAGGCTGGGACTGTTGTGTTCTCTGGAAACTAAGTGAAGACCAAAGGTTATGAAACCATAACTACATTATCAATCTTTCGATTTCTTCACGTCCCAATATATATGTATATGCGCGCACGTATGTGACTTTCTTGTGGTTTATTTTTAGGTTTATTGAGTTGATTGATTGTTGCTGTGCTGGGACTGAGATCTCCCAAAGTGATGCTGGACAAAATCTTCCTTTCCCTCCAGTGCTTGCTTGTAGGGATACAATCTTACAGCATCCAAGAACCACATCTTGTGATCTTCTAGCCCAAATACCTTCTTCCATGCCCCTAGACTCTGGGTATAACCAATTTATTTGTTTCAGTTTTCTCCTTTATCCCTCCTCTTTTTTTGTGCCGTATGAACAAAGTGTTCTCCTTCAAGGCGGCCTGACATGTTATGATGTGCGATCCAAATTGACGATATAGAAAAATGAAAGACTGTATCGCACTTTCTTTTGTGTACTTTGATTAATTTATTAACCATTTGGCCTGGCCTCATTTAAATGTGTGATTACTGACAGGATTTATGCAGAGACCTTGATTTCAAACCAAACCAGTTGGTTAAACTTCTCTAACAACACATTTTTAAGTACTTTAGAGGTATGTACCACTAGCTCCCTTTCTCCTACTTCCAGAAGGCACTGCCCTTTTGATATCGAGCTCCTACTTTTCTTGATTACACTTGCAGGAAACTATTGGGACCAGGGTTGTGATTCCAATACCCGGGGGAATAATCGAGCTTCTTGTTACCAAACAAGTAATGTTTCCAGTATCTTTAACTTTTATTTGTATATTTAACTGCATTCATGCACATTTCGTATGAGCCATAAAGTAAACCGTTTTCCTTCACTATCCGAAAAAAATGATCTTTAGCATGGCAGTTATTTTATTCTTCTGTTTTCTGTGACTGCAGGTATTTGAAGATCAGCATGTTATTGATTTTGTCGCAGCCCAATACAACATCTCACTAGAGGAGGAGGCCCTGACTAACATAACCGGTACGTGCAAAATGAGTGAAGTCGGATCAAAGTGATTTTTAGACCATCTTTCATTCAAAACTACTTCAGAGAATTTGAATCTGCATCCATATGATGTATCCATGGAGAGAACAAGCAATTCTTCAATGAACTTCTCGCAGCAATTTACTAATTACAACTCGAGAAACCTAACCAAGAATAATATTGATATTTCTTCAGCAGAAAATGGGTTTCAAGAGATGGAGGCGATGCAGAGGTCTATCACAAGTGAGAGACAACAGCACATGGATATGCAACAGTATATGGAGGCATTAGTACCAAACATTGATCAGCAAGAGGGTAACGAGAAGCGGGACTCGAATACACATGAGGCAGAGGGACAAGCTGGGGATTTTATGTCGGATTGCAGTGATCAGATTGACGAGGATGAGGATACAAAATATCAAAGGAGGACAGGGAAACGGCCTCAAGCCAAAAACCTTATTGCTGAGAGAAGGAGAAGGAAGAAGCTTAATGACAGACTTTATGCTCTTAGGTCTTTGGTTCCCATTATTTCTAAGGTACCCATTGCATTTCATCATCTTGCATCTTTTCTTTTGAAACCTCATTCGATTTGTGTCATGTCTTACTTCATTAATGTGTTGGATCAATTCAGGCTTTATAAACGATATGAAAAGAAAGAACTCACTAGTAACCTCACGTAATAGGCTCATAAGAAGACCTATTCATGGTCAAGTTAGCTAGGGCAATGTATCCTCCTCTCTTCTACACCCAAGTTCAAATCTCCCTCCCTACAGTTTAGATTAAATTAGAATATCGCTCGAATATAAAAGTAATTGGCTCATTGAAAATGATGTCTTTTATCTAATGCCAACTCCCTTTCAATTCACAGTTGGACAGGGCCTCCATTCTTGGGGATGCAATTGAATATGTGAAGCAGCTGCAGAAGCAAGCTAAACAGCTCCAAGATGAGCTTGATGATCATGCAGAGGATGATGCTGCTACGAACAATGTCAAATCAGAAATTCAGAGCCGAAGTGAAGTTAATCACATTAGGCCTAAAACAGATGATCATCAAGATGATCATAAAGCTTCAAATGGTTCTCATTTTGGAACACCGGGAGACTGCAGCGTCTCGAAACAAAGCAGAGATTATTCATATGCTGTCCATGATCATAAGACAGAACAGATGGAGGTGCATATCTTGTGTTCTTCTCTTCTTGAAGTTTTTCTTTTTTTGGGAAGTGATTTTTTCACTTCACCTACATTCCTTCCTTTTTTTAGCCATTGGATTGAATAAATCCATGTAGAACCAATGGACAAAAACAATGGGAGGAAAGCATAAGGAGAAAACGAGATTGTGAAAACAACTACCTTTTTCTATTCGGGATTAATTTATTTCTTGGGTATTAATCAAAGAAATGGAAAATGTTGCAGCCCCAAGTGGAAGTGGCTCAATTGGATGGAAACCAGTTCTTTGTGAAAGTGTTCTGTGAGCAAAAGCCTGGTGGATTTGTGAGGTTGATGGAGGCTTTGAGTTCACTGAGCCTGGAAGTTACTAATGCAAATGTGACTACCTTCAGATGCCTTGTGTCCAATGTTTTCCTTGTAGAGGTTAGTTGCTTTTCTAGCTCAAAACTCTAAATTTTTTCCTACTGTTGCACATAGTTGGGAAATTGTTTTTGGTATATGAGTGTACACAATCCCTCGTCTCACAACTATTTGTCACATAATCAGTTATGTGAGGGTGGTTTTTGCGAGTGCAACGTTGTGTATACTCGTTGTATGCAAGGATTTTCCTTAGTAAGATGAGGCAAGCTCGTGTGCACATTCGCCTTATATGTGTGAGAGAGTTGAGAAAAAGTATTGGGAGAAAAGTTAGAGGGTTGTAACATCTACCATACAATTTAAAGAAGCATTGATCTTACATAAAGTGACTTTGTTCAATTTTTTTGTTGCCAGAAAAAGGATACTGATATGGTTGAAGCTGATGATGTGAGGGACTCCTTGCTAGAGCTAACAAGGAATCCGCCAAGACCGCGTAGCGAGACAGCTAAAGCGGCGGAAAATGGCGTTGACTTGGACAGCCATCATGACCACCACCACCACCAACACCTCCACAACCACCATTTTAGTCCCCTCCACTTGCACCATCTTCCTAATGAAGCATAAAGCTTCAGTGTTCCATATGGGAAAAGCATTTTTCAGTACTTTATGTTTTGGTTAATTTTCACTTTGATACAAGTTTTTGCACAATCTCAAAGGACAAATTCTACATATCTTAAACTAACAGAAACATTGCTCTCTTTATATATCAACCCTAAATCACTATGACTATCCAATCAATTGCTTAGTCTTTGATATATTATTATTAACCAATTTTCGCCAATTTTCTAAAAATTACATTATAATGATATATGTATGTCCGACATTGGGATTTCACACATAGAAAGAGTGAGTGTCACCATGAACAATGAATCTCACACTCTTTCCATTGATGTGAAATCTAACAAGTTGTTTTTAGAGTCGCTTGATAACTTTGTTTTCAGTTTTTATATTTATTTTTTTTAGCAAAAAGTTTTTTTAAATAAAAATAGAAATTGAAAACTGAAAACCAAAAAGTTAAATCTTTCTTTCTTTTTTTTTTTTTTTTGAGGGGGCCGTTAGAAAACCAATTTATTTGCAGTTTTTGTTTTCACATTTTTTGAAAATTGAAAACTCATTTGATAAATACTTTTAGTTTTCAGTCTTGCTTGTTACACCTACCATTTGTAAACCAGAAGCTTAACTAAGTCGGCTAGAACGATGTACTCTCATCTTTACACCCAAATTCAATTTTTTTATAATTTAGATTAGATCAACTATATCCCTTGAATAATAAAAACCAAATTTACTTAGGATGGGTTATTAGTTACGGCCCAAAATAAAATTAAAAAAAAAAAGGACCTAGGGACATTACCAATGGGCCCAACAAAGGCAGAGTGAGGCCCATAACCAACCACTTGGCAGCTCCAACATCGAGACTTTCCCCATCACCAAGTAATCCCAGGAAACCCAGTAACACGGTCTACGTGCAAAAGTCCACAAGAACCCTAGACTCGACCCTCCCTCTCCTAAAACCTCACTCACATCCCAAAAAAATCCCATCTTTTTTGGTACATCAATGGCCTCCGTCGCCACCGGCGGTCGATTCAAAGAGCTCCTGAAGAAGTACGGCAAGGTCGCACTGGGGGTCCATTTCTCAGTCTCAGCTGCCTCGATCACAGGCCTCTATGTCGCCATCAAGAACAACGTCGACGTCGAATCGCTGCTCGCCAAGGTTCACATGGGGAGCGTGTCCTCCAAAGACGAAACCCCCCAAAACCCACCTGTAATCTCTGATGGGTCGGTGTTTCGGGACGGACCGACATCGGGAAACGGGCAATCGACGGCTGTGGTTGTGGAGAAAGAGAGGAATCGGACGGCTGAGCTCGCGGCTTCGACTGGTGGGGCTCTGGCATTGGCTTTGCTCTGCAACAAGGCTCTGTTTCCGATTCGGGTTCCCATCACTCTGGCGCTTACTCCTCCTGTGTCTAGGTTTTTGGCGCGAAGAAAGTTCATCAAGACCGGCGGTCTATGAACGTCTTTGCCTGGTACTTGTTTATCCTTGCTTTTTATATATCTTTTCTTTTTAAATTTAAATTTTGGTTATTTTGATGTTTATTGAGATGAAAATGAACATAAAAATGGCAATTGAAATGTTGAATTCTTTATTTAGCAATGGGATGTATGACTGGTAGCATTTGGGTGAGAATTGAAGTTGAACAACTGATTTCGATGTGCCCTAAGTGGTGTGATTCTGGAATGATGAAGCCTTGAACTACAAATTTGGGTGCACAAGTTTGTTGCCGGAAAAATTCGGATATTAGATGAACAATTTGAAGTTTAAGACGGAGTATTAGATTTTAAGTAGCTGTGAATGATGATGATGATGATGATGATAGTGATGATACTTTCTGATTAATTGAAGTTTAACTTCTCGTGGATCGAAATGAGTTGAGTGACATGTAATTGTTAATATTGAACTGCGTGGTGTTCAGGAGCGGTTATTCCATTAGAGGATCAACTGGTGTAGCATCTTATTGTTAAGTAATTTGTATCTGTTGTAAACTTGTAATCGCCGGAGATCTTTAGATGCCTGAACTTCTAACTCAAATTTATATAGAATCCATAATTCTCAGGCACTTAATTCTAGGACACATTCCACATTATATGGCACGGTATAAATTGGGAAGAAGCTGCATTTCCCGCAGTGAATTTTCATTTGTCTCAGTGATTCGACGTTCCTGCAAGCTATTGCCTTCGGATAAGCCTTCCATAGTTTCAAAAATGTGAAACCACAAAGCCTAACCTGGTAATTAGCTAGTATAGCAATGTGGATCATCTTTCTTGCCGGGGAACTCACGTATCTTTCTTGTGGTATATCAGGAGAAGGAGCAAAGGAACTATAATAATCGTGGAAGTTATAGTAATTACCAACAACAGTATCACGTGGAATCCTAAAGTTTGCACAAAGTAGTGAAGGTGGATTCAGTTTAAGCATTGCAGGAGAGAGCGGCGATCGCTACCGTAGCAAATCGGTGAGAGGAGAATTTTAGTATTGTTATTGTTATTATGTCAATCAGATGGGTTCTCCAATCCCACTCTTCTATTCGGATCTGAATCTGTGAGCTTATACTCTTCTTTTTCTTACTAATAATGTACGTGTTGTATTGATGGATTTTATGCAAATCTCATCATTTAAGTTATGTTGATTAGCTTGAACAGGATTGTTCGGTTCATTCGGATCTCAATTATTTATGTTACAGAAATTTATGATTTCGTTTGGACACAATCCTTGTGTTTTTAACAGATTGGTGAATGACGGGTTCGATGTTTACTCGAAAATGATAGGGTTTAGAGGAGTTTTATAGAAATCAAATCAACTTGACATCCATTACACTATGTTTGGATGAAGAAATTTAAGATTACCAAATAATTTTATTTTCTAAAATTTGTGAATTTTCTTGTTTGGTTAACTGAACAATGGAATTAAATACGGAATTTGTTATTTTTTAACTCTCAATTATAGAAATTGAAAAATGACATCTATTTACAGGAAATTTAAACTTAGGAATTGAAGGTCTCAAATTCCAAGTTTTCTTTCACTCAGAAATTATAAATTTGTATGTTTATGAATCCAACAAGGGAATTAGTGCATATCAATTTATAAATTCTGACTTTTACCCAAATTCCAAGTTTAGTTTTCTACTCTATTTTTGCAATATGGAAGCAGTCCATGGTAAAAGATGCAGCTCAAAATGACCGAAAACAAAATAGCTAAACAAAATAGCATTCTAAAAACTTAAAAAAAAAATTGTTTGAAAATCCTGGATTTCGAATTAAATCTTGATTACAATGTTGAATAAGTGAACAGAACGAATGAGGCAAGAGTTGAGTCAATTGTGAGAAGCCAATCCACACAGTATATCTGATATAGTATCAATTAAATCCATAAAAATCCTGAAGAGGGAGCAACCGAAAAGTGATTGCAAAGCTATGGTTGCTTTTGCGGCTGCAGAAAGCACCTGCCAAAAGCTACCAGAAGATATGTCAACATAAGCTAGCAACCAGATGCCGAAAGTCACTCCCAATCAGGGGAGTGCCGGCAACTTTGCTTCGACAAACCCCCAGTATGCCTAAAACGGGGAGATAGAATGCCTAATGACAAGGTGTATACGCCTGGGGATAGCCTGAAGTCTCAACTAAAATGGGTCAGGCTTTCAATTTCTATTGAGTTTGAAAAAATGAATTCAAATTGAATGTGAAAACCTTTTGACAAGTATCCGAAATCTTCAGAAAATAACAACGAAACAAAACGGATTGACCTTTTTGGCTTGATGGATCCGAGATCTTGACAAATAGAATCTTCAAACCTATGCTACGATTGTTGCAGATGCTTAAATTCTTGACAATTAGCTCCAACCTCACTCAGGGCCAAGAAAAGCTTTGGCACAATCTTAGCTAACATCAACTTGAAACCAACCGAAGTTGAATTTACATCACTCTTATCACTAAGAGAGGCATCTTTAGTGAGAGAACCAATCGAATAGCCTTTCATATATGCATCGCAGGCCTTCAAGATATAAAAACCACGCCTCCGGAAATGGTCATTGACGAGCTCTTCAAAGTCCTAGACATGCCAACAATACTATTACTAAACTTTATTGAGTCAAACATAAAAGCAACATATAGGACTTTCTTTGTAAAATTACCACACAACATAAAACGTGAAGAGCGTTCCCCAAGTATTTAGCAAATATAAACAGAACATCAAGTAGATTCAATATTTTCATGATGCCATGTAATGCAAACAGTTCACTTTTTCTTCCTACCATGTGCGGATATTGCTCATATACTTCAAGGGGTACACCCAACTCAAACAGAAAAGATTATATCAACAGACTGAGTAATATCCAACTAATATAGAACCCCTATAACCAAACAAATTTTAATGCATCAAAGATATGAGGAAACGATCATATATGATACACACAAAGAAATAGAATCTTATAACAGAACAAGATAAAAATTGAATATTCAATATCTGATACATCACCTTAGGTGGCCTCCGAATAAGATACATCATTGTCTTACAGTTCAGTAAGAAAGTATTCTCATTGTAGGACAACGAATTTTTCTCTCCTTCAGCCGTCCCAACCTGCTTATCGTAGCCTGCTTCATTAAAATATGGCTTAGAATTTAGCACCAACCCTTGGAGCGAAACAAGAACTTGAAGGATGCTAGAAGACTTTGGATCCCACACTTCATTCCCTCTGCCAGTCCAAGTATTCAAAAGACTAAGACACACTTTGCCTTCTTCATATAGATTTGGATTTATCCGCCAGCCACCAGAATGATAGTATGCTGTCTGTAACACATAAATCCATTCAGAAGACGACAGATAAATGCTCTTTCTTTTTCTTTTTTTCTTTTTTTTCTTTTTTTTTTTTTTTTTTTGCATCAAATCCAAAAAAAATGTTGTGAAAAAAAAATGATAGTATAGCCAAAGATTAATAAATAATAAAAAGTAGTTCTAACCAGAGGAACATCAGGGTACTCTGGAGGGAGGTGAAAATCAAAAAAGAAGAGGCCATCTTGGTAAGGTGTCCCATAAGCCCCAACTATAACTGCCCTCAAGAGATCCATTCGATCTTCATAAACTCGTACACAAATCCCATCTGTTTAAAAATTTACTGTTAAAATCAAGTGTTTCTAAAATGGGACAGATAGTGATCGTCAAAATAAGAAACTGAACCCTTACCAGGAAGGTTATTTTGAAGGATGTTCCAATCTTGCTGAACCTTCTTAAACCACTTTCTTCCACTGCTATTCTGTAAGTATCATTTAATGTGAAAAACAGGTTAGAAGTACGAGGACAGTTGACCTATTAACAAGGCCAGAATAGAATGACAGGCTTTAGTCGTCGCGGCAAACCAATTTTAGAAAATTAATAGAAAGCCCCTCGCAAAAAAAATTATTCAAATACTCTTAGACAACTTCTTTATCATTAAGGGCACCTCTTTTATTATTAAGGACATTTGTTTAATTCAAAACCCTCATGAAGTGTGACTCCTTTTTTGTTTTTTGTCCTTAAATAATAAGAAAAATGGTCCAAGTGTTTTTTGATAAAAAAAAAAGTTTTGTGAGACTTTTTATTAGTTCTCCGTAACAATTTCCAGTTCATTAGTCCTCGGATGTCAAATAAAATATAAAGCAGGAACAGAAACTGGAAAATCAAATAGACAAATATATCTAACTGCTTTATTTTCATTTCTTCTTTCTCATCTTTAAAGGAAAAATATGTATCCTTGTCTAGCCTACTATACCTAATCTATAAAAGGTCCATGCTACAGAACGAGGATCCCTCAAGAATACAAGGCAATAATGGGGTTGAAACTGAAATAGAAAAAATACCTGCCCAGCTGCACAAAGGAAATGATGGTCCAAAGGATCTTTGGCAATATCAAAGCGTTTGAAACTGCAAGCATCATCCTTATTGCATTCTACAAAATCTGATTCTTCAGTCTTTAAGTTGCATAGAATTTCTGCTGCATCAAACATTTCTGTAGCCTGTGGGGTAACATGTTTCTCTTCTTCTTCCTTATTTATTTCTAGACCATAAGGATCCACCACATTAGATTTCTGAGAGCTGGAATCTTCACCGTGATCTCCTCCCTGAGCAATTTCTACTTCCCGAGGCTCAACTTCACCTTCGCCCTCACCTTCAGTATCCAAAGAATTTGAATCCAAATTTCTTTGTCCTCTTGAGAATATACCATGTGCCAGTCTGGTAACAAACCTAAGTGCAGCCAAGGGAACAGACAATGCCGGGTTCCTCCCAGAATTATTCTCTCCACTCTCTTCAGCTTCAAAATTCATCCCAATGGCATTTTGTAGCCGAACTTCCTGAACATCAACAACTTTCTCATCTTATTCAACAATAAGAATCAAACCAAATAAAGTATATTTAAGGTCTTCTCTATACAAATATACTCTAAGAAAATAATAAATTCATCTAGAAGAAGAATCAGTTTCCCAATATGATGAATTCAAGTAACCATAATCAGTTTCCCAATACAAGTACCCAGTCTGTCATTTTAATATTACTTTAAAAGCCAATAAACTCAAAAACTCACGTCCTTAAAGAGGGAGGATTACAATTAGGACTAGTGGCCCAAAGCTCCTCTTTCCCAGATGAAAGAACAACATCTTGAAATACATGATGGAACAATGTAATTATTTTTTGGGCAGGTATCAGATTGTAAATATGGTTAAACATACAGCTATTTCAAACAGAAACAAACCTCTTCTGTACTCGCAGGGACAAATAGTGCAGGCATCTCATCATCGTTAACCGTTTCCCAACTAGCAGCATCACTAACATCACTTCCAGCACCGATGGAGTCATCATCATCAGCTCGGCCAACAACATAAATTGCTTGAGGTCCAACCTAATAACAAATCAAAGAAACAAGAAATACATTGGAACACTTCAATAAAATTTGACATACGATTGAATTTTGAAAAACAAGCACAAATTTAGTTGTCTTTATGCCAGAGCAAGGTAAAACAACCAAGAAAAAAAAATCTTGTGATCAAACAATAATCCATAATAATATATTCGAATAAGATCCCAATTTTGTTTTACACCCACCATTCTCCGAGCAGCTGCTTACCATCAGAAGCTTCCCATAAGTTTCTACTCTTTTCTCTCATACTCTATTGAATCGAAGATTTATATGACATGGTTTACATCCCTCCCTTTGACTAGATTCTTTCATCCTAATCAATATAACTAACAATTCCAATACAAGATAAGCCACTATTAAAGTATTTTTTGATTTCGTTTCCGAGGCACGGAACGGGCTGGATGCCCATCAGGAGTGGAGCCCTCAGGAAAAGGACTTCCGAGAACTAGAATTTTTAAGTGGACTTCAAAAAGTAAACTGAACCATTTTTTAGGGAGGAGAGGTTAGAACTAAGAAGTAATAGTGATGATGTTATCAATTTAATAATTCTAAGTTATTGATACAGAGTTTTATGTTGATTGACAGCCAAAGCGTGAACAAGAAAACAAGAGTGACAATTTGAAATTAGGCAAATGAACATACCGTAGAAACCATCCCATCAGCCCATGTAACTTCAATATCCCCATTCTTAAGACCAGTTATATTTCCAACCCAAGAAAGATCGGAGAAGTCCAAACAAGCTTCATCAGTAGATAGATCTTCCTTTTTTGTAGAAGCGGAACTAAGATCACTTGGTCCGTTTTGTTGCTTTGGTTCCTCATCTAAGTCTGTCCCTGAAGCAGTTTGTGCAGAGACAAAAACTGGCAACAATCTGACAACAACATCCCCATGACAGTAATCATAATCCGGATGCCCCTCAAGCTCATAGACACTCACAACTTCCTCCTTCTCAAACTCTCTAGGATCTTCCGGTCTGGAAACTGGCTTTAACCACCTCACACAAGCTGTTCTCTCCTTGGCATTGACACTTTTCACAAGCCCAACACGCCTAGCTTCATAAGCATCATCACCATCATCAGACGCCTTCTCCACCACATACTGTTCAGCAACAAATTCGTGATCACCCGGACTATCAAGCGGAATTAAATCTTTTGAGTCCAGTTTCAGTTCTGTTGTACCATCCTGCCATGCCACATCAACTGTCGTCTTGGTATTGACAATCAAAAAGGATCTTTCAAAATTTTCTTCCTTCCGTGCCTTCTTGTCTCTCCTAACCACAACTTTGCGGATCTTTTTGCGATGAAGAGGCCAGGTTTCATGAACTGGCTCCTTTGAAACTGACAATAAACTATTACACAAACTAGATTCAACAGATGTATTCCTTCCAGTATTTCCATTGTTTCCATCTAAGACAGATACTAGATCGATGTCCATGGATTCGTGATTGCCATTTGGTTCATCAAGCGCACTCTCCTCTGAATCACACTTACTACCCATTTGAGTAGGTTCTAAGTCACTGCTTACAGAATCATGAGGTTCTAAATTTGATGATCCCTTGTCTAACGGAATGGAAGATGATGACACTGATGAGGGAAGAAGACACCAATCACCCAATTGCCAAGTTGCATGTGTAAAACAAGACAATAATTTCAAGTTCTTGGGAATCTGCTCTTTAGCAGGTGCGGTAGAAGAATCTGGCCCACAGCCAGCAGAAGCTATCCAATAAATTAATACTGAAGCAACTGTAACCTTAGTAACAGTACCTTCCACACGATTAGGTTTCCACAAGCCAGATAGCCACCTAGCATTCTTGAAAACTGACGATCTTGCCTTCACACGCTGACCTGGGTAGTAAGGGAAATGCACATCCTCAAGCATATTCTTGGAAACCGGTTTCAGATCCATCGGCTCTGCTTTCATAATTTTACACACAGAACCATCATCAAACAAAACTGTCACATTATCATAAACATCATCAATCCTACCTAGCCAGGGACCAAGGACCACATAATCACCCACGGTGAACTCCCTCACACGTTTTAATTCGTTGGATGAAAGGTCTTTTATGACTGACCCATCAGGAGTTAATAGATCAACAGAGATATTGACATCCACCACAACACCAACTTGCCCGGTTGGGTCAGAAGCAGCAGCAACAAAATCCCCATGTAAGAACCCTCGATCAACAACTGTTAAATCATTAATGTTTTGGGTTGACTCAGTCTCGTCCATCCAAAGTACTCGAACCTGGTCAGCGGGAAGGGGACCAGTCTTATCATTACTACCATTTTTGTTCTTGTCACCATTCCCATGAGTAGTATTATTGTTATTACCACCTTCTTCCTCATTCTCATCATCGTCGCAGTCATCATCTTCATCGTCATCCTCATCATCAGTGATGCTACTATCAGAATCTGAATCACCAGCAACCTCAGTCACAATCCCAGTCATACCACTCTTGCTCCTGACGACATCTTGTCTATAAATATATGGGGTATTGTTAATGTTACTGACAGCCTCACTTAACTTTTTAACTTCATTACTTTCAGTAGTTACATTTGAATCGCAAAGAACTGTGCTTGTTGAAGAATCAACCTGGCTCAACGAAATATTATCGTGGTCAATAGCAGTAGGCTCGTCATCTTTAAAAACAGTGTCATGCTCCTTGGTTCCCATCCAAAATCTGACAACAGGTGATAAATGTGGTATCTAACGTCAAGCTGAAATCATATACAACCAAAACGAATAGCAAAATTTTGAGATTTATCATCTTCTTAAGAGAAAGGAAACACATTTTTATCATTGATAATTTATCAACTTAATCATAAAGCTAGACTCATATGTTTTCAACCTTTAAAAAAGCTTCTGGGCAACTATAGAGTTCTACGTATTACTACTTTTAACCAAAAAAGTGAGTTACTTAAAAATGTTCCTGTTATAAAAAGAGTCCAATAACAACAGATTAACACATAATCCCTGTGACTACCTACTTCTCAGATGGAAAACCAATACTAAACTACAAGTCTACACCGAAAAGTTTCAAACCCAAAAAACTAGTTCAACAAGAAGACACATGTCCAAATACATGATGTTCATCCAACATAAGAAACTTAATAATTAACATCAGAATCCAATCACAACAAGCTAAGAAATATTCACAAGCACAAACCAAGGCGCGAATCCGATAATAACGTGGAACCCAATATTCCAGTCGGATTCAACAACATATAGGATGATTTGGGTGCACAAAAAAACCAATTTTATCAATAAAATTGCAGCTTAGAAAGCCGAGAGCAGCTCACATTTAGCAGACAAACCCAACAATCAAACAATACAAATGGAAAAAGCATAATAGAAAAAACCGATATAAAATATCATCTCTATTAGATTGTGTGTTTGATCATGGATTTCAATCCAGCCCATTTGAAATCGGAAGCAAATGAGAAAAACGATTAAAATTAATAAAAATAATAATTTAAAAATGGAGCTTGGAGCTATATGTAATTAGATGATTGCAGGAGGGGTTGTGTGAGAATATACCTGAAGAAATCTGGGTGCTCGATGAATGAGAGAGAGAGAGAGAGAGAGAGATACTCTGATGGAGGAGGAAGACGACGGAGAGAGAATGGGAAGAGCCTTTCGGTTTTTTGAACGGAGGGTATAAAGCTCTGAGCTGGAAGGGAAGCGGCACTAGGGGTATTCTCGTAATTCGGATGATGTTGATATGAGAGAGGCCTCTATTTAAGAAAAAGATAATAATGACATTTTAAATTCTCTTTCGCTTCTAGATTTTTTTTAACTTCTTATTAATTGGGGAGGTGAACCTGTTTTTTTTTTTATATATATTAATTTTGTAACCAGAAAAACTTCACAACTCACTTAGAATAAACAAAAATATCTTTTGACAAAAAAAAAAAGAAAATCTATTGTTTTTAAGAACTAAGAGCAAATAACGCTTTACCGTAGTGACAAAAAACAATAATGTTTATGCACTTTGGTGCAGGTACAATCCCCATCGATTCATCTACCCCTAACATTTAACAATTTAATCTACTAATCTTATCGTTTGTCAAAAAAATAAAATATTAGACAAAAAAAAAATTCAATTACAATTATTGTTCACCTATATCTATGGTCAACGTAACAAGAGAATTGACGAGAAAGAGAAAGCAACACGATTTCTAGATCTTTAAAACCAAATACTTGGTCAAGCAATGGTAAGGGAAATAGAACATAAGACCTCAAATGCACGATAGATGTTTTAATCTACAAGTTAAGAAGTTATATACTTAAATTTGGTTTTAGGGTTTGTAAATGATAATATACCAATGTACTTTCAATTCTTCACCCCCTATCATCATATATCAATTGAGTAAACTCTCATTTACTAGTTTGATGTGAAAATGTCATCTTGTATTCAAATTACAATTTATGCCATTTATTATGTATTTTTTATTGCATATTTTCTTTATAAAATTACAACAAAACTAAGATCCAAGAATGTGATGACCAAAGTTACCAAAAGTTGTATTGAAAATGGGATATGGATGGTATATGTCTTTTGAGAGAAGACTATTAAATTAAGAGAGTTTTAACGGAACATTCCTGATACTGTTCACTCTTAACGAAAATGATATTTTTACTCTAAAAAATCATTCTTGTTACTATCCACTTACAACCTTTTTGTCCTTTTGATTAAAACTCAAAGTTTTCAAACCATTTTCATTAGTTTTCCTTTAAATTAATTTCAATTTTTTTTTGTTGGAAAATTAATATCAAATATTAATTATGATTTGAATACTTACTCGAAGCAAAGAAAATTGATTATGCTTTGTTTGGACAATGGGGAGAATAGTGAGAGTTTGAAGGACTAGGCAAGGTAGCCTTTTCTTGCAAGGGAGGACTGCTTCAAGGTCAAGAAGTCATCCTTTAGGACAAGCTAATTACCATTCTAGTTTTTATAAATATTTAAGCCTATTGAATTTTTTTTTTCTCTTCTAATAATTATGGTTTATAAAACTTGAACATAAAGTTTCTGTTAGAAAAGTGATAATGGGTAGCCCGGTAAATCAAATGATCATATGTTAGTAAGAAGTTAATCTAATCTTCATTTTTCACCGCTATTAAACACAACATTTGAAAAAAAAAAATAAAAAAATAAAAAAATAAAAAAAAGAAGAGGTTTATTGCCATTTATGTGATAACTAACCTCAAGACAATGAGCAACCCTAGTATAGTCGTAATTTTATTTTTTTCATTTCAAGATCGTAAGTAAATTCGAACTCAAAATCTTCAATTTCTTTTTTCTATCTAAACTTTCTATATGGGCCTGAGGCCCAAAACAATGCTCCGTAAATGTAGTTAAACCCGGGAAGATGTAGACGATCTAGATCCACTACCCCATATATAGCAAACGACGTCGTAACTAACTCCCGGGACTACGTAGAAACGCGGCATCATATCGCTCTCACCACTGAAGCAAAACAAACGGAAAGCCGAGCCGGAGAAGATGATCGTCTGCGTCGCCGTCGTCGGTCACCAGAACAACCCGCTTTACATTCAAAGCTTCACTGACGCCGATGATGCCCTCAAGCTCCACCACATCGTCCACTGCTCCCTCGACGTCGTCGACGAGCGAGGTAAACAAAATTCAAGATTCAGATGTGGATCAGGGTCTCCGTTACTTTTGAAATTCTCACTTCTGCGTTCTGCTAAATAGTTTTGATTTTTCTGTTCGATCGAATTGGAAATAGACTAAACACTGAGATCATTTTTGGGTCTGCTTTATTTAGCTGAAAAATTAGACCTTTGATTGTCGGGTTTGTGTATTTTAGTTAGAATTTATGTAAAGTTTGTGTATTTTTGTGTGATTTTGTAGTGAACAATCCGAAAAAGTCCGGGCCAACATTGAATGAGACATTCTTGGGTCTGCTGTATCCAACTGAGAATTACAAAGTGTGAGTACTTTTGTTGTGTATGCTTAGCTTGAATGTATTGATCTTTGGTGTTCTTATATGGTGATATTGTTTGCAGGTACGGCTATTTGACTAATACAAAAGTGAAGTTTATCTTGGTAACTACTGATCTTGATGTCAAAGATGCCGATGTTAGAAATGTGAGTATTGCTCTTGGTGTTGCATCTTACTGAATTACTCATTTTCTGAAAAATTAAACATGATGCAGCATTCACTCAGAAATTTTCATCAATGCTACGATGTTTTCCGACGTAAATTAGTTATGTTTATATGCATACTTCTGAAACAAGGTTTCTTTCTTTTTTTGGGAAATGACTTAAATAGTAAGCTGAGGATGCAAGTGTATAGGAAGAAATGGAACTCCCGATCATATTTAGGGCACTGGAACTTAGGAGGACTGTGTAGATTTAAGCGGAGTTAGACTGATGAGAGTTGTGTTTTGTGTTTACTGTTTTTGTTTTGTCATGGAGGACAAATGCAAGATTTCTTCAGTGGCAAATGGATGTTATAGATTCCACTTTGCAAAACTTGCTTCTTGTAGGCATATAGCCAGTGGAATGCAAATTGATTTCTCAGTTTCTGCTTCCTCCAGTGAGAGAATGTTCATAAAGCAGTCATGACTTCGTGTTTATGTACATAAGATTGATGAAATTTGGTCTTCTCCAAAGATTGATTGAATTCATATGGTTTTGAGAGATTGAAAGCCCTCTTAATCCACCTTAGTTCATGCATAGTTTGGAAATGAGATGCAAGAATAAGTGATACAAAATATTGTGACGGTAGTTCCCTTGACAAGAAATGCATATGTGACAAATTTACCCGTACGTCTAACGTGTTTATTTCCTGCCATCATGTACTTCTTAAACAACTGTAGGCAGCTGCTATGTTTCTTGAGAATATGAATTCTTGAATTATTTGGATGGGATTTTCTATGGTGCTCTGGAGTATGGGTTACTCCGTTTGTTTAATTGGTTATGATTCACTATTCTTCCATTTTGATAGTGTGGGTGGCCACTAGTTTTTGTAAGTGCTAAATATGTTCCATGGTGTGCTATCTTTAGTGAGTATTGTCTATATATGCAACAAGGTTTGGATAATCCCTCTAATTGGTTTATTTGTGTTGTAGTTTTTCAGGAGATTCCATGCCGCTTATGTGGACGCAATTTCAAACCCGTTTCATGAGCCAGGTAAAAAGATAACCTCGAAAACGTTTGCAGAAAGGGTGAGCACAATCGTCAAGTCATTTGGCATGAGTTCAACCAGGTGAATGATCTCGACAGGATCGTAACGGAACATTCTGAGTCTTTCTTTGTTGAATGGGTGGAGTTCATTCGCTTTTCTCACCTACGAAGTGGAGTTAGATAAGATCACATGTTTTGTATCCCAAACTTCAGTTCTACTACAGATGAAACAATTTGTGATTCTTCTTTTCCTTATAACATTGTAAAATTTCTAACATTTGGCTTCACTGGATATGGCTTTCATCTTCCGTGTTCTTCGTTTGCAATGTCTTTTCGTTTCTTTTCTTCTAACATTGGCATACAAATGAAAACAATTCCATCTCCAAATCCACGTATGAAAACGATAAGAACATAATAATGATTGTAAAACCATCCACCCTAAACAAGTTAATACCGTTTACCGAGTAGCCGGACAAAGAAGAAAAAGACTCTACAGGCATCATGTGTTGAACCAAAATTACATAGTTTACGATACAACTTTCTCAACCATAAGCGGAAAAAAAGACTCTGCTGGCAATACGCCACTTGAACAATCGTCAAATTACAGGGAACATAAGAATGAATGACAGCACGCAAGAGAGAACCACTTTGGTAACCTGATAAGCATGTTCAATGTCTGGCGAAATGTAAAATATTCAATGTTCGTATCATATTCAACGGAAAGAGGAGGTCGCTCAGGCCCAACTCGATAAATCTGTAACATAAACGGAAACGGACGCTATCCCAGTCAATCAGACAAGGAACTCAAAATATTCTTGATACATTTTCAGAAAAGAAAACAAAACAGGCACAGCATTTTGAGAGCATTGCACAGGGAAAGTAGATGGCTGGCTTTCTCAGTATATAACCTCTTCAAAACTCGTCATCATCTTCCTCGGCTATGTGCTTTGCAAGCTCTTGCTCCTGTTGTTGCCTCTCCCTCCTCTTCTCAGCACTTTCTTTCTCCTTGTGGGAATTTGGTGGGAACCTAAGTGCTCGCACTGCATCGTTGTGCAAATTGAGGCAAAATGCAATTCTTGTGTCGAATGCAGCTTGGGGCTCGTTAGTGGAGTAGATATCCCCAGTTTCCTTTGACACCATCCATCCATTTGCATGATCCAGAGTGGCATCAATTGCACCATCTCGGATTGCCTTCGCCACAATGCTTTCAGCATCAGCAACCGGGTTTGGAGAGTCCAATCGCAACTTTTTAGCAACATCAACCAGAGAAATACGGGAATAAGAGATGCTAATGTTACGCAACCCAGTCCTTATGACATTATGTCGCAGCCTAACAATCAAATTATGGGTTCGGTCTGCATTGAATACATCCGAGAACTTTTCTGCAATATTCTTGAAAAGCTCCAAGTCACCAATTCTCACAGCCTGAAAAATAAATCGTCTCAATCAAAACCAGCAGTAGAAAAAGCTCATGGCCTATTCAGGGAGTTGATTCCAAGTAGACCCTCCCAGCCTTATATACTGCATTACTACTCTTCAACACAACAAAATTCTGCTCAAACTTGACAAGAGTAAAGTTCAGAATTCAGAGTTCAAGGTTTTGAGAAATGCAGGCTTACATTTGTTAGTTCAAAGTATGGCCGCAACGCCTTCTCCATGCCTTTTTGCATAAAAACGGTTCTCTCAGGGATTTCTCCAAGCAACAAGCGTACAATGATTGCCCACTTGTTGCACTGAATCCGAAAACCAAGGGCTGCTATAGGAGCTTTCCTAGCAGCTTGCAGGAGGGACTCCTTTGCATCAGTGTACTCCAACTGAATTGTTCTGATCTTTCCTAGGTAAAAGAGATACCGACAGAACTGCAAGAAAACATTGGCCGATCAGAATATGCATCTTACAATTCGTATAAAGAGAACTACTGAGGTAATATATGCTATTGTTCTGATATGTACTCCACTCCCACAATGTTTTGAACCAAGCTGGTACAAATTTGACTCTATGAAAACAGTATTGTGGTAATCCACATACTTCCCAAGGACCCTCCTTGTTTCCCTTAAAGTTGTAAGCAAACAAGAAACGCAAAAAAAATGTATGTTCCGCTGAAAAGAAACTAAGTTTATTCCTCAGAGAACATAAATCACTAAAATTTTCTGAAGCGTAGAAAGTAAGGAAGAGTAATATTTATTCACAAACTGCAACATGGTAACAGAGTAAGGGGATGTTCTTAATAGTAAGCAGTGATTGAAAGTGGAAGAAGGCAAAAACACAGGAGAGACCAGCACGTTATAAAAATATGGTTTTTGTTAATTAAGAAAAAGGAAAAAGGTTGCAGCCATGCAATCCATTGATAATACGCGTGAGAATAACAGTTGAAGAATGCAAAATCACAAGAAAGACCAGCATCACAATACATCTTCTTCATTTTTTTTATTTTTATTTTTTTGTAATAAGAAATGGAAAATGTTAATATAAAAATATAATAGAAGATCTAAATTACAAAAGAGATGAAGAAGCAGTGCACCAAATCCAAATGACCCCAAATAAAAACTAAAGAAAGAAAAAAATTTCAAGGAAACAGCACCGATCTCAATGAACATACATGTCACCCGACAACATCTAGCAGTACCTATGTTACATCACATTTGTGATTTGTTATACAACTGAATATGCATAAGGTTAGAAGTTGATTATAAATTATAATGAGACTGAACCATACATTCACACACAATTGTGATCCTAGATACATAGTTTAAAGATATAGATTCAAATAATTGAGCATTACCTGCTGGTTGGAGTGAGCCTCAAATCGAGGTGCCTTGGACCTCAGTTTCTCTGCCTGATCATACAGGTTATAGTGGAGATAATTGCGAAGCAGAAGATTAAGAAGTGTTTCCTGCATCACATTGTTATCCACAAGTAAGAAACCAGTGGGACAGGCACAGTAGCTGACAATATATTAAAAAAAAAAAAAAAAAAAAACCTACCTGACCCAGCTCATCATGGCGCAAAGTGGCAATCCGGTGAAGATTCAGGAGATTTCTGTGAATGAATGAGTGAACAAATTAATCGTAATAGGAATAAGTCAAATACAGAAACTCGGAAACATTGCATACCTTGTCCTTAATACAAAGACATTTGTACCTCAAAAACAAGCAAACGGATTCTTTAAATACAATAACACAATAACATACAACTCACCCTCTAATTTCTGCAAGATCACCAGTGAGTTCATAGCTAAGGGAGTAATAGAAGTACAGCCTGGATGCCAGAACATCAATGGTTCTCCTATTCAAGTTCTTAATACGAGCAATGCTTGCCGAGGCACAAGCTTTAGCCTAAAAGACAGCAAGTTCAATGTTATCACAAATATAAGAGCTTCAACTTTAAAAAGTAAACGATCCAGAGCCAGATGTAATAGCATGTTGTAAGTATATTGCTTCACCTCATTGTACTTTTTCTGATCAATCAGAAAAATGAGCACAAGCAAGTAGGAGTACATCTCTAGCTCTGGCAAGGCATGTTTTGCGGGAACTTGAGTAGCAGATGTTGCGGTATCAACGTCCATATCCTGTTCATCATCCTGTACAACCAACAGTCACTTTCACAGTGCTTGAACCTAAACAAGAACATCGTATACACCAGCTCAAATCCAAAACTCAATACGGTAGATCCAAAATCACCTTGGGAAGAAGGGACGATAAACGGCTATGAACCTCAGATCCCGGTGTAAGGGCAAAATTGAGGAATGCTGAAATCACAGAAACCTTCAGCTTCCGCCTCAACACCATCGTTAGCCTAACGGCACGCACAATCCGCCTAACCTCCCGGGTATAAGCAGCAGTCTCAAGGAGTGAAGCAATCTCCTTCAAATCTAACAAAACCAGTAAAAATTGAAAATCTCAAGTCAAATCCCACATGCCCAGTTCGATAAACTACCAATAACTTACTTAAACCCGCAAAAAAATGCGGGAAAATTAGTGTTTTACAGATACATATACATATATATATGGATGCGGATGGTGAACTTACTGTGTAAAGTTGACGGAGAAGTCGAAGAAACTGGGTTGGAAGGCGCCGGGACCTCCTTCATCTCCACGTCTTGAGTCATCTTGTAGAGAGAGACTGTATCCAGATTACACAGAACGTCGATTTAACGAACGACGAACGAAGATAAAAGCCAAAATTTCGAAATTTGCATTGTAATTAAGGCAAAGTTACCTTGAATCTGGCGGCGGCTCGCGCTGATCGGAATCGATTTGGCGACTGATGAACCAGGGCTTTGCTACGGTTTCCTCCTCTGCAAGTTTATGCGAGACGGAAGAGAGAATATGAGGAACAGTGAGAGAGACAAGTGAACTGAAGGCCGATGTTATACGGCGTCGCTTCTTTCATTTCTTATTTTTCTTTCGGATTTTCTTCTTTTTCTAAAAGAAAAATCTGAGACAATGCTTTTTTTTTTTTTTTTTCCGAAAAGGACCGCATATATTTCATAAGGCTAGTAAGCTAATTGGTACAAGGTAAAGAAACATCCTCCATAAGAAAATCGCTAATTATAAAAGGAGGTTTATCTAACCAAGTATAATTCCCTCAGTGTGGAGGGCAAAACGGGCCAGACGATGGGCTATCGAGTTTGTTTGGCGGCCGATATGGGCAACCAAAGCTTCAACGACCAAAGATAGCGAGAATTTGGTATCTTCGATGATGGATCCCATGGAAAACAAGTTCACCAAATACCTCAACAAGCGCATCACTTTCAATATCAATCTTAATTAAACCCCGTTCAACCACCAATTCAAGACTAATTAACATGACCAATGCTTCCACCTGGATGGGAGAAAACACTTCCATGAAAACACGGTAAGCCGCACCCACAAAGTTTCCTTTAGCATTTTTTATTATGATCCCCACTCCACCTAAGCACTGTTCTTTATCCCATGCCCCATCTACATTAAGTTTCAGTCTACCAATTGGAGGACAAGACCATCGAGGAGGGACACCATGGCTAACCGATTGGGAAGGAGAGCAGGCCACACGTAAGAAATCCTACCACCAATCCACCGCACAACCTATGACCACCATAGGATTCGGATTAGGAACCTCACCCCAAAGTTTAGCATTCATGGTCTTCCAAATTGCCCAAAATAGCATAATGATACAATCAAAGTCCGACTTCACTAGATTTTGCGCTATAAGTAGAGCCCATTCCTTCAAGGAGCATCTATCCCAGTGAGAAAGGTGGAACGCTAAGGGTGAGGCTCGCCAGATATCGACTGCGAACAGGCACTCAAGCATAAGGTGATGTATCGATTATGCGGCCGATTCACAAAGCACACATAACGGATCAATGGGGACTCTTCGAAGAATGAGGTTTCCAGCCGTAGGGACAATATTTGAGATAATTTCCATGTCGTCATCTTAACTTTGGGAAGAACACTGGTTTGCCAAAATATATCCCACAAAGTAGAAAAAGGGTTGCAAGGGGATGAAGAAGATGAAGATAGAGAGGGATGGAAAATCTTTTGCCGAGCCACATGATAGGCACTTTTAACAGTGAATTTGTCCTTTTTATCATAATGTCAAATCAGGTTGTCACACATTAACCACATACTCAGTGGAAGAGTTCGAATAAGACCAACCTATTCAAGAGGCAATACAGAGTTAAGCAAGTTCACATTCCATTTGGCATCATCAGTGATCAAATCTCGAACAACAGAGATGGTAGAGTTCACATTCTTAGTGGATAAGGATTGAAAGGTTGAGGGTCGAGGAATCAAGTGATCTCCCCACACTTTGATAGTACTTCCATCACCAATTTGCCACCCAGATTCTTGTTTAATTACCTGTCTAGCAGCATATATGCTTCTCCACAAATAAGATGCATTATGCCGAACCACAGCATCCATGAAAGAAGAATTAGGGAAATACTTAGCCTTTAGAGTCCGTGCAACTAAGGATGAAGATTAAAAAATGATTTGCCACCCTTGTTTTGCAAGAAGGGCTAGATTAAAGGCATAGAAAGTGCGAGAGTCCACCCTCAGATTTTGGGAGGCAAAGATTATTCCAAGCCATCCAATTAATTTTCCTCTCATTATCTGATTCATTCCACCAATAAGAGGCCACTAATTGGTTCAACTCATCACAAAAATATTTTGGAAGTAGGAAGCAATACATGGTATACAATGGAATGGTTTGAGCCACAACCTGCACCAGTAACTCTTTCCCTGCGGCACTAAGTGCTTTGCATGTCCAGCCCTGAATTTTTTTCACAACCTCTCTTTAATATGGTTGAAGTAGGCTCCGCGATTCCTCCCGACCAATACTTGAACCAACTCTCACCCTTAGACCCAAATTCAAATATTTAGACCCACTAAGAATCAAATTACAATTGATGGTTGATGTCAAATTTTGTATTTCTCCGACCGAATTGTCAAATATTATTTTATAATTTAAATAGAATTTTAAATGGTTACAATTAATAAAAAAATATTGAAACAAAATTTTTATTAGTTGAAATGTTAGTAGAATAAGGAACACACCATTAGAATGAATTAAAAATAAATTTGACTCATAATCACAAAGCCTTCAAATCCAGTCAACAAATAACACTTCAATTGAACAGAGTTTTAATATCAAATATGCACAGTGGCATTCTACATAGGATTTTGATGTCTCTTTTGGAGATACTCTAAAAGATAAAATTTTACGTCTATGAAAAGTGAAAATCACACAACCCTCGAGACCTAAATTTCAAGACATAAAATGTATTAAACTGTAGTGGAATGGTTTTAATCTTGATTTTTTTTTTCGGTAAATTTTTTTTTGTAACTTTGAGTTATGTTATTTTAGTTTAATTTTACAAATTTTTTAACCTAAAAAAAAAAAAAAAATTAAAGTCTAACAAAATTTTCAAGATCAAACAAATCGTAACATAAATGAACAAATAAATGAGTATATATAGAGTTTGGGATAATTTTTAAGTGGACATGTTTTAAAATTTTTATTTATTATTTTGACCTTGGTATTTAAATATCAGTCGTTGGATTAAAAAAAAAACATATATGAACCGTTAGATCAAAAGACTGCAAAAGTAAAAAGACATTTAATCTGGACTGTTGGTTACGGCTGCTTTTGAACTCAATTGGACGGTTGGACAGCTGGGGTCCCCTGCCATGCGAGGCCCATTTGTCGCCCACAACCCTCACCCTTCTGCCTGTTGCTTTCTTAAAAATATGTGAGGCCCCCAAAAATTTGGGTCAACTAAATAGAAACCCAATTTTGGGTTTTAGTTTGAGTCTGAAGCAACTTTTTTTAGGTTTAAACCGAAATATTTGGGTTTGAGTCCGCCTTGGAGTTATAACAAAAGAGGTGGAATTCAAAGTTGGATACTTTCCAATCATAAAAAAGAAGTAGATATCCAATACTATTTGTATTTAAATTTGAAAGAAATTATTGCAAGCTTATTGTGAGGTTAAACTCATATTCGTTCTCCTTACTTTTAGTGTAAATAATATCGTGTGTTAAAAAAAACTGTTTTAAATGATTTGAGCATATTTGACTATTAAAAAGGATTTTGTTTTGGTTTGTCAAACATTTGGAGTGATATATTCATTATAATTGCCCATCATATATCGTAGCTGCTAGAAATAAATGAAATTTCATTTATTACTTTGATCATAAAACGATTACAAGACGGTAGCACATAACTAACATTTAGAAAATTAAACTACTTCTAAAACAAAAAATTTAGTTGCATAATTTTCTTGCATACATTATGAAAGCATCTCCAGCAACACTCGTTAAAATTGTTTGATTACCATATTCACAAGACATGGCATTTTTCATTAAGATATGATGAGTTTCCCACAATCAAAATCAGCCTTCTTCAAAAGCAACAAAGCGAGGGTTGGAGCCAGAAATTTGTTCAACAATGTCATAATTTTTCCTCCACTCCCCTGCATAAAACCAACCACATAACCAGTGACAATGAGATCAAACCCTCTCCATCTCCTTTCATTGGCATACTTTTTCAACCCCATCTCAATCCTCTTATAATATTCCTCCACTCCTTCACCTCCATCTTTTATTTCTCGCCTTGAGTGTTTCAACAAGGCCTCACCAAGACACCTTGCTAACACAACCCCGTCTTCTAACGCAGCGCAGCCGCCTTGGCCTATGTCTGGTGTCATGGGGTGGAGCGCGTCCCCACCAACACAAACATTTCCTTTGCTAATGTTTCCCCAAAGAAGCTCCCAAGGATGTCTATATCTCAGTGGAGATGATATAAAAGCATCCAAGTTAGTGCTTTCTATAACTTCTCTTACTGTCTCAGGTGCCTTTCCAAGGTTGCTCAGAATATATTGCTTCAGTTGAGCTGGGCTTTCTTCTAGCTCTCTCTCTACAAGACATGAAAAATAAATAAATAAATAAATGTGACACACATTTGACATTTTTTCTTAACAAGTGATCTTATTCTTTAAAATAGTCTAAACTACGGGGAGAAAATTTGAACTCGGGCGCAGAAAGGGAACACATTCGCTCTACATAGTAGCAGAAAATACAGTTTGAATTGAGAACAAAAATACGTACTTTCAAGGATGATTGAGAGCCAAAACTTTTGGCTTAAATAAAAGGAAAAAGTCTGAAAATTGGTGTGAGATGCTTACCTTGGCTGGTAGGAGCCCAAGTGTAGTACCAATAAACAGTTTTATCATCACAAGGGATTACACCATATCTAATACCATTTCCAAAGAACTGCATAAATATGGGATCAAAACCATGGCCGCTCTTGAAGTTGGCAAGGCCTCGGATGGCAGATCTCCCTGTAAACGCCGGCTGCTTGAACCCTAGCCATTTAGCAACCACGGAGTTCACTCCGTCACACCCAACTAAGACCTATTCAATCACGGCATTGATGCATAAGCAGTTAGATCAAAAGATACCTATATAGAGTTCAAAGAATTAGAGCGTCGAACCTAAAACTAATTGATAGCGATGAAGAGGAAACACAGTAAGGCAAGGCTCTACATTCCCTATGTGGGATATGCTCTCAACAATACCTTGGCCTTGAGGATGGTTCCATCAGCAAGATGAACCAGCTTCAAGTAGCCTGATTCGTCAATGGAAACCACCTTGGACGAAAACCTAATGGTGCCACTAGGGAGTTCATCTGCAAGGGCTTCCAAAAGCAATCTCCTTTTCACGCGACGAACTTCATGATCTCCGCTGCACGTCATGGTAAAATCTCAATTATATCTGAGCATGCTTGCATTAAGAAGCTGGAGAACGATACTGGGGGGCTGGAAAGCATGCGAAAAAAGGAGATGCAGCAACTGGAGGAATGTAAGCTATTGAGGGGATTAAGCAAATATTTGGAAAACTTACTTCTTTCCCTTGGCCTTAAATGACATCTCAAACACAGGAAGCCCAGAAATTGTTGAGGAAGTCACATTCCTGCATTCACAGCACCGTTCAGTTCCGTGCGAAAAAAAGCATCACACAGAATTATTTCCACATTGCCTGCTGAAATAATTTTACTTATTCATCAAACAAAAGTGTATATAATTTATGTCACTTATTCATTTTTGGTACTATATATCGAAATTAATTCGCACATGAACAAAACAGTTCAGAAGGAGATGGATCGAATATAAGGCCGGAGACTGCGTTCTCTTGTATATGTGTGTGTGATCTCAAGGTGTCAAGGCACGCACCAAAACAGGCGTTCATGAGGGTTTAGATTGATTGACCGTTGGATAACATAACGTATCAAAATTGTCCACAACAAGTAGTTATAAGAAAGTGATGAGGTAGAGTCAGAATATAATTACCCACGAAGTGCCCCATGCTGTTGGCGAAGAGTATCACCAGTGCCAAGGGCATCCAAGGCCTTCCATGCATTTGTCCATGTTGTTAAAGCAAACCCGGTTGTCCTCAAACTATCCGACGATTCTAAAACTACGCTCCGAATCCCCAGCCTGCAGCAAAACAAAATTAATTTTGCTTATTGCTTACAGTCTAAGTGAACATATTTGCAATTATTCATATTAACAAGTTTTGGTACGTAGTAGTAATTAAAACATATTATTATCCAGATCAGTCTGAAAACTTGAAGAGAGAGAGAGAGAGATAGAGAGAGAGAACCTGTGAAGCCCCAAGGCTGCAGAAAGACCAGCAATTCCAGCTCCAACAATCACAACACTTTCTTCTACTACTTCCATGAGTGATGGTATTATTGACGCCATTTCGGAGTTGCTCTGTTGGATGGTTATTCCATAAGTTGGATTACAGTACAAAGTCTTATTCCATAAGTTGGATTAAGTTGGATTACAGTACAAAGTCTTATTCCATAAGTTGGATTACAGTACAAAATCAACGGAAGGTGGGATTTGACGATTCCAAGGGGAAGTAGAGAGATTGATGGTGTCTGAAACTCTACTTTCGCAAACATGTGTGTTTTCGAAGAGACCAAGATAGAAAATAAAGAAATCTTAAATTATTTTTTAGGATTAATCTCAACGTACTTGTTGGTTTTCGACATTTAATACATGAAGTTTTTTTATCCTAGAATAGTACATAAAGTCATAGTTTTGGAACATTTTTATATATCATTTAAGTTTGTTGTTAAATCAGTTATTAACTGATAACATGACGCTCATGTGAACAATAACTAGACACTACGTGTTATAGGATCCACATAAATATATGTACTAAAAAAAAAATTATATGTAAGAATTTTTCCCATAATTTGTGGCGGCAATTGGATATGTCATTCTGGGATGATGACGAATGGGATTACGATTGGGATGACACACTAAAAGGACAAGTGACACTGACAACAACCAACTTTCAACCCTATTGCCCCTTTAGATTTTGTGCAAAGAGGCTTGTAGATAATGATTAAGAAAACTCCATCTTGCTGTTTTGGCCCCGAAATTCCGAGTTCATATACATATTGAATACGTCTACGCTTCTTGAATTTAAGCTTGTTATCAAAATTGACTATGATAAATGAAAAATATGATTGTGGAAAAGGTTTATGGGGCAACTATGAAGGATAATTTTGTCATAATGGGATATTGGGATTACTTTTCTTTGGTGGAAGCCATAAGCCATAGTGGCATTACAATTTGGAGGAGATAGGTGGCAATCAAACTGCAATAATTCCACCAAATGCTTTATGTTATTAGCAGTTGAGCACTAGGATAATTAATATTATCGGTTTAAACTTAGTTTGACGGTATTTCTCTTCTTAATGTTGAAAAAGTCTCAAGTTCGAATTTCCTTTGCAGTTGATGATGAAAATGAAAAATTAAAGTAAACTTAATCACAAATGTCTAATATAATTGTGATATAATGTGATTAAAACTCTCTCATAGTAGTGACAAAATTACAAGTAGGGTAATAGGGTAAGAAAGGTCTTTTACTAGTATAATTGCGATATAAGTAAGATTACTTGGAAGTCAAACGAAAATTAATATACGTACAGAAGATCTACATTGTTTTAAGAGATGCTGAGCTTCCCACAATCAAAATCAGACTTCTTCAACAGCAACCCAGCAAGAATTGGAGCCAGACATTTGTCCCTCAAAAAGTTCATGATTTTCCCATTACCCTCTTGAAAAAAACCAACCATTAAAGCTATGCTGATCAGATCAAAGCTTCTCCATCTCCTCTCACTAGCATACTTCTTCAACCCCGTCTCAATCCTCTCATATTCTTCCTTTCCTTCTTCACCCGCCTTATCTTTTGTTTCGTGCCGTGAGCTCTTCAACAAGGCCTCACCGAGACACCTTGCCAACACAACACCGTCTTCCAATGCAGCGCACCCGCCTTGGCCAATGTCCGGGGTCATGGGGTGGAGCGCGTCTCCTGCAACGCAAACATTGCCTTTGCTGATGTTTCCCCATAGAATCTCCCAAGGATGTCTATATCTCAATGGAGAGGATACAAAAGCATCCAGTTCGGTGTTTTCTACTACAGCCTTTACTTTATCGGGTATCTTTCCGAGCTTGCTTAACATGTATTGCTTCAGTTGACCTGGGTTCTCTTCTAGCTCTTTCTCTACAAGACATGAAGAATTAGCAAAAAAAAACGTGACACACACATTGATAGTTTCTGAATTGCAACGAGAATGTTATCTGAGATGCTAATTCATAGTATGATGCATTGTCGCGTTTGTCTTAATCGTAATTTTTGTAGTGAGATTGAAAGCTGAAAACAATTTCTGAAGCACTCTCTCTACATTAATGTGGTAGAAACGGTGCAAAACCTAAAAATCCGCTCCAACTTTGAGCCTTAAAGGTATTGAAAGGAAGCATGGAAGCAAAGAAGTCTCAAGATTTTTGTGAAAGGCTTAATTACCTTGGCTGGAGGGAGACCAAGTAATGAACCAATAAACAGTTTTATCATCGCAGGGGATGGAGCCTGATCTAATACCATTTCCAAAGTACTGCATAAACAAAGGATCAAACCCGTGACTGCCCTTGAAGTTGGCACAACCTCTAATAGCAGATCTTCCCGTAAAGGCAGGCTGCTTGAAGCCAAGCCATTTTGCCACCACAGAGTTCACTCCATCACACCCTACCAAGACCTATATATTCATTTCAATCGCAGCATTGATATCGGAAGCAATTAGAGTTAGGTTGTCGGCACAATGCAAACTAGTCATGGTTTGTCTTTACGAAGCAAAAAGTAGCGACAAAAAAAGGCGAGATAAGTCTACCTACCTTGGCTTTGAGGACGGTGCCATCGGCGAGATGCACCAGCTTAAATAAGCCTGATTCATCAATGGAAACCACCTTGGATGAGAACCTGATGGTGCCATTTGGGAGATCATTTGCTAGGGCTTCCAACAACAAGTTCCTTTTCACGCAACGAACTTCATGGTCTCCGCTGCGTGTCATTTACAATCTCAATCATATGGAATACTTGAATTGCATGTTACAAGTAGGGAACTAGCAATACAAATAAAATAAATATACACGTGATATTCCATTGGGGTTCAAAGCAAAGAACAACATCTCGGGGTTGAAATGAATGCAGAAGGAAATGAAGTACTCTTACAGAGGAAACAGCTACATATGTAAACTTACTGTTTTCCTTTGGCCTCAAATGACATCTGAGACGTTTGAAGCCCTGTAATTCTCGAGGATGTTACATTCCTGCGTTCGAAACTCTGCAATCAGTTTCATACCTATATCTCGATGTAAAACAGCAAGTACTAAATTTTTTTTACTAGGAGTCATTGTCTACCGTCTGAGCAAGATTGGTAAAAAATACTAGCTAGCTAGCAAGACTATCAAGGGCAAGTGTTGATTAACTTTTGGAAATGGCCACTCAAACGAAACAATGCTTATAAAGAGTCGAACATTAAAAGGAGCGACGTTATCTAGCTAGACGGATTGATATGTCATGTTGTTACACAGTGAACCATGCGTTTAAACAAGCATGTGTCCGATCGATAATCGAAAACGTAACATGTTAGATTGTATGTCAAACAACGTTGTGAAAACACAATTACCCATCAAGAGTGACGTGCTGTTGGCGAAGTGAGTCGCCGATACCAAGGGCATCCAAGGCTTTCCAGGCATTTGTCCATGTTGTGAGTGCAAACCCTGTTGTCCTCAAACTATCAGATGATTCCAGCACCAAGCTTCTAATGCCCAGCCTGTGCACCAAAAATTTCAATTCTCCTTATAAATCATAGCCAGTAAACAGTCCACAGAGGAGCAAATTAATTAAGCCAATATGATAACCCAAATTGTTTTTCGGATACCATGCTTTTGTCTTGTGTGTGCGAGCGAGAGAGAGAGAGAGAAACCTGTGAAGTCCTAAGGAAGTGGCGAGGCCAGAAATTCCAGCTCCCACAATGACAACGTCTTCTACTATTTCCATTCAGCCTTTTGCTTTCACCTTTACTCTGTATTTTTTATGTATGTGTGCGCGCGCGCAATAAAAAGAAGATGAAATTATGAGATGGATGGATGGATGGTGGATGTATGTGTGGCTATATATTTGTATGTGAATTTGATAGGCATGATTAAGTTGACGACAGGGATGACGTCAATAGTCGTGTTTGACTTCGCTTGCCCTTGTTGTATTATTGATTGGTTTTCTCACCCGAAAGAGAAAATCACTGGTTCTTCAAAAAAAAAAAAAAAGAGAAAATCACTGGTGTGGAGGCGGGAGGCAAAATCATATTAAACTTCCGTTCTAAACTGTATGAAATACTTTTGTTTATAAGTGATTTATTTGGAGCGCTTTTATTAGAGGAGATAGATAGTCCGTCCTCCTGTTTGGATGCGTTTTCCATTCCCTCCTATAGAGATAATAAAATAAAAAATAATAGGAATATAAAATGATGATGTGATTTAACCGTAACCGCATAAATAGGAAGAACACCCAAACAGAAGGGCAGACAATCTGCCTCCTTTATCAGAATCATTTTTAAAAGAGTAATGATTTTAGGAACGGGATCATCTTTGGACCCAAATGAACTGAGTCCAAAGATTAAATGATCCAGATCATTGAAATTTGATCTAACGGTTACAAACAACTCCCTAAAAGTTATAATAATTATAACCGTTAGATCAAATTTCAATGACCTAAATCATTTGATCATTGGACTCAGTTCCTTTGAGTACGAAGGGGATCTGGTTCCATGATTTTAAACTAAATTTGCAAACCAAATGATGTATCACCAATAGAAAATAAGCACGTTAATCAATGCTTAAGTAATAATCCAATCATCAACAACCACTTCATTTGATTTAAAAAATTTGATCTCCCTAGCATTATTCTTTCTCAAAATGTATTTGAAAGTACTTTGTGAAGTTTATCTTTTGATTGTCGTAAAGTGCGTTTAGCTTTTCCAAAAGCTGTACCAAGAGGCACTATAGAACAGAATATTTGAAATCCTTCTTTACTAGCAAATACAGGACTTTAGCCATGAGGCAACTTACTGAACAAGTCTAGTTACAGCACCCCATCCATTAACTAAGACCAAAACAAAAACGCAAACTGGAAAATTCAACAAATGAGAACGTCAATCGTTCTACAAACCCGTATTCTGTAAATTGACACTGGCTGTAAAAATTTCCAAGTCACCTAATGACATCCCTTCTTCTTTCAGACAGCCCTGGCGATAACAATTCATTCAAACGCTCGCACGAAAATTGGACCAAAATTTAAAGGCTACCACCAAGGCATACATACACCAGCTACTTTTTCTACATCTGCTACCTTATCCTATCTGCTTTCCGGGAATTTAACCTCGTAGGTCTGGGGCAACTGCACGAATAAACAGACATTCTCATAAAACAGAATACGAAGCAAAATCAATGACATATGTGGTCACCAAAAATATGAATTACCATGAACGTTGCCTCGATCATCTTTCCAGCAAACCACCTTCCATGGAGAACATGCCGAGCACTAATAGCAGCTTGTGTATTTTCAAATCGCAAGTACACATGTCCAGCAGTATTCCTGCTTATTGACAAGAATGTGAGTTAGATGTATACAATAGAGGGGAAGGGCCATATAAAAAATGCAAATAAAACTTACTTGTCCACATATATATGCTTCAAAGTCCCGTATTTTGAACACTCCTCCTGAACATCATCTTTAATGTCCAAGTCAAAGTTTGGTTCCGACTGCTCAAAAACCAAGACAAGAAGTTAAATAAACGGTATAGAAGAAAATTTGAAAAAGAATCAGAAAAATCTATATTTATCAAAGGAATCCATCACCAACCTCAGCTGTGGGATCAAACATATTTTTCAACAGTAAACATTCGCTTGGAACACCAATTGTATCTACAGAAGGAAGAGTAGCTGTCGGAATTTGAAGCCCTGCAACACCAAGTCCGGCAAAACCAGGAATAGAGGCAATGGGAGGAACAAGAGAAGAAACCACCGGTGCAGCTCCCAGGATTGGTGCCATCGGTAAGGAAACGCCTGCGCTATTGACAGCGGGTGTGCCTAAGGGACCAGCAATACTGCAAGCAAAGCCAATGTAAGACTAATGAAAACAAATCAAAATACACCAACGTGCTCAGAGAAGACAAACCTTGGTGCAGTTCCACTACGGTCCAATTTCTGCATAAGCATGGCTCGAGAGCGCGCATTCAATGCCTGTAAGATTATCAAAACATGTCAATTACCTTCAATTAGGTCAAGCAAAAAATTATGCAGTACAGATACTCTTTAGTAATCTCATTCTATTCCAAACTGCCCGTTCTTTGTAGTGCTGATGTCAACAATGCCTTGAGAGGCAATGTACATCTTACTAGTTAAAGCAACAAGGAGGGAAAAAAATCTGAAACTAGTAAACATTAACATAATTCATGAATGGTGTGTTATTTTGAATTATCAAGCACAAGCCATCTGAAATGAACGATATTACTAACCAAGCCACCGCCTTCATCATCGTCAAAATCACCAGCATTTGCTCCAAGATCTTGCATTCCAGCTTGGTCTGTAACAGCTGACACCTAAATAAATAAAAAATGAGGATTCCGGTAAATAAGCAACAGTCTAAGTGCCACTCTGATCCATCCAGTTAAAATTAAAATGATAGCAGTTAACTGACACATCACCACAAAACATTCAAATATTTTGAATCACAAAAGCAAAAAGGCTTTTGCACTCATTTAAGACAAAAGTCACAATACTAATGGTATCATCAATTAGTGCTTGTAGTTATCTAAATAATTACGTGGACCATTAGAGTGAACATACCACATCATTTACGTGCTACTCAATGTGCATATTAAGAAAACCTGAGCAAATACGCTATCTCACAGTATAAGCATCACTATTGACCAGCTGAGATGAACAAACATACCAAGCACCACTCATGCCACTATAAGCATCAAAGACTGGATGTCGAAGAACTATCACACGGCCTAATTAATGAATTTGGAAAAAGTACACAATGCAAGCTTATCTTTTGGAGAAAGAAGTACAATAACAATATGATAAAGTGCCATTACCTTAATTACTCGACCTGCAATCTCCAATTGTCCATTCAAACTCAGAGAATTTCTAGCATCTTCAAGACGTGCAAACTGCATGCAAGTAACTGATTCAATGAACTTGATTTATCCAATAAACTTGCACATAAAGCATCTGATAAGGACAACTGGAAGGGAATTGGTGTGATATACTGCAATAAATAAAAGAGAAAGGGGTGGGGGTGTGAATAACTCAAATAGACATTTTTTTTTGGTGGGGATGGGGTGGGATTTTAAAGCCAATTCTAATCACCAACTCAAGCTATAATGAACCGCCATACAGACATATGCTTATTTTATATCCACAGTTGGTTAAGATGCAAGTTCTAGTAAAACGGACCTGCACAAATCCAAAACCTTTGCAGTTATTAGTTTCATCAAGAGGCAACTGAACCAGTTCTACAGGACCAAATGCTCCAAAAACCTGTATAATATCAAATATTAAAGGTTGAAATAATCAAGCGAGCCAAACTGCAAAAAACAGCAATACTTCCACAGAAAAAACAAAAAAAGAACTGTGAACAAAAGTGCTCAAAACAATTACCACCAAGAGCAAGCTCGATTATGTAATGTAAACGTAATGAGTCTCCAATATGAGAATCAAGTCACAAAAGTACTCACCTGGCGGAGATCATCTTCTTTTATATTGCTATGGAGATTTCCAACATACAGCCTTCTAGCTCCACCAGAATATGGGCCTATCATCCCACCTGGTCCAGTGACAACAGATGTCGTTGACTGAACTAGATTCTTCTCGGCCTCTGATGGCTTCACCATCACTGGTTGACCAAGAAGAGGCTGACCAGAGAGTGCGATCGCCATAGGTACCGACATCGCATCATAAAACTCAATATACCTGCAAACTAGACAACATTAGATTCTTGAATGATTTGAACCTAACTGCCCATACAGATACATGTTAGCTAGATTTTACTGCAAGTTCCAAACATAGATTACATAAAAGGAGAGAAAAATGTCCTTTTTATGATCATTTGACCAGCTGGAATAACCTACACCATATGCATTGCATTTAGACAATGCAGATCTGTATCATTGTAAATTTCCTATGATGATGGTGCAAAATTCTAACATTGCGAATGATCTAATGAAGCCATGTACTGCACAAGAAAATGTAAATAAGGAATGTAAGCCCCTTGAGAAGGAAGAACTGGCAGCGACTCCAAAACCAAATTCCAACGGTGATCAATCGACTTTAAACAGGAAAGTCTTATTTGCACATAGAATGTATCCATAGCTTCTTGTCAACAAAACCAAATGACTTTAAACTCTCACACCATCCTAAACCCTATAATTTAACTCAATTTCTCTTTATGACCACAGCTTTTGCCACCAAGATAGACAAAAACCTACCCAACTCCCTTCGAACGTCTTGAATTGCGGTCCATAATAAGACGTACATCGCGGACCTGAAACACAAATCAGAGCTATTATACAAACAGTGACAGAAATACACTTACAGCTACAGCCACAGAAACACTTAATTAGAAATATCAAATCATTATGGGTTTCCAGTTATCAGTTTAGTTAAAGCAAGGACTGAATCAACAGCAAATTTAAACCGTCCAGAATATGGTAAAAGATACAGTTCCTCAGTACATCTTTCTAGCATGTATGTTTATATGTTAGATGCTAAGCTGTTTTTGTTACAAATATTGCAATTACATAATTAATATAAGGTACAAAACATAATGCATTCAAACCAAGAAGTCCCTTTAGCTAAAAAGTGTAGAATCTTTACCGTCTATGATTTGTTAAATGAACATGACATAGATAAACATGAAATGTACAAACCTTTCCGGCCCTTGAGAAGAACTCATATACATCTCTTTCATCTGCCTTCAGACAAATCTGTCAAATTTGTTCACCAAAAGTTGTTAAGATATAAGAATCTGGAAGATAGAACTTTCAACATAACACAATAGAATGCATATACCAACGTATTTGCTATACCTGATATGCAAATACTGTCCTCTGATCTCTTTCAGGATCAGCCTCTGGTTCTGTCCCTTCTTCCTTTTTGTCTTTATGTCTTCTGCAACACAAAAATGAGAAATTGACAAACAATTGTATTTTTATTGACAAAACATTAATGTCTCTGGAAAATACGTCCAGGAAGAACATGTAAAGATCAAACATAAAGCATCCTCGGATCCTGAAATTGAACAAAATAAAATCGCTTAATTTGGTAAAGAAAACAACCTGAATGATACATAGAAAGGATTCTGTTATCAAATATATAATAAAAACCAACCTGGAGTACAATATGTCGATTGAGTGAAATTAGAATATTGATGCTAATTGTTAAGAAGGTAATGCATGCAATCCAACTTCAAAAAATGGATTAACAGATTGGTACCTTCTATGCACAATATAATGTTAAATGAAACAGCACCATCAAGTTGTATGGATGGCGGTACCAAAGGACTTAGTTGCAATTATTTGGAACCTGTTAGAAGCTTTTGTCCCATAAAAAGAATCACAAATAGACAAAGCAAAGTGATAACCCTATAAACTGATAACACATACTATATCTACTTGCAGTCACACCCAAACGTCACTTTAAAATGATGCAATTTTTTTAACCGTGACTCTCATAAAGAGCCTGAAAAATACCAATTCCAAAGGTGAGACCTGTAAGATGAGCAATCTGCATAAATTTCTAATATCAGGGAATAAAAGCTTCTATGTGAGTATAATTTTTTGTACATATACACACACACTGGGTAAAATAATAGCAGGTATCTAAGCTTGCAAAGGAAGGTCACAAAAGTCCTCTCCAGCTCCAATGATCACAAAAGAAGAAAAAAAAAACATCTTCCCAAGGTCGCAAAGGTCAGCCTAACCCTAAGGGCAAGCAATCAAACACGTGAAAATAACAGTACATATATACACTAAGAAAATAACAGCCAATCTTGTAACCACTGAAAACTGAATTTCCCACAAGAATCAGAAGATGAGGTGCTTCTCTAAGCAAAGCCCATCTCTCCCCCCACCAGCTTCTGCAACAGAATAAATATAAATAAGCAACGAAGTTCAGAGGGCGACGATAACAAAAAGCATTACATGACATCACCACCGTGGTCAAATTCTCGAACATTGAACCCTCAATCTTGCATTGCAAGCTTCTAAATAGAGTCCACAAAGTTTAGAAGAAACATTTAAGACCCATGACCTGAGCTGTGCCTGGCCCAATTGCCAGAAAGACCATCTGATGATTGCTCTAGCATATCTGCGAGTTCCCAGAATCTAGTGTTCAATATTCAGAATTTCTAATGGTGTTAAATACAAGTAACTTATGAATCTAAGTATGACTAACTGAGAATATTCATTTATACAATAGCATGAACCCACTTATCCAGGCTGGAAAATACTTGGGAGGAAAGAAATAACAATCTATGGCATAGAAAGGGTGACTATATGTTCAAGATGGATACGGTTCCACATCCAGCACAGAACCCATGTGAAACTAGGCTGAATAAAAACAAAAGGCAAGCAACTTATCAAACTGTTGAGCAATCAGAGACTACAAATAAGTACACAACTGGTTCACTGTCAAGTAATTTTTAAAAGTCGAAGGCGAGCCAAGGCGTTTCATGAATACCCTCGCCTAGCCAATAGCCTCACAGTACCTAAAATTATTATAGTACTTAATATATGTAGATATAAAATATAATAATTTGTAAAACAATCAAGTATGGATGTCAAGCAATCAAATATTTGACTATTATTATTATTTCTCAAATTCACACCATAAAGTCATAATAAACTAATAGAAACTAAGTTGGTAACATAAAATTAGCATGAATTTTATAAAAACCCTGCCCAAAACAACGTTGTTTTGGATTTGGTGTTTTTTTCAAAAAAAAAAAATTCGAAGGTCCAGGTCGCCTAGGCTAGCACCTAGGCGTTTAGGCTAGTCTATAGTCCACTCCGTCTGAGCAGAGGCGTTTTCTTCATAGCCCCACCCCAAAACCTGCCTAGGCGAGTCTTAAAACTAGTTTTTTAAAACACTGCTGTCAAGTGAGTTGACCACTTAGCAAAAAGAAAGAAAGTTAGTTACCCAAATGTAGCTGCACATATGCAATTTTTTTTCTGCAGACAGAGTCTCCATCAACTTAATGTTACTATAACGAACAGGATTCTCTTTTTGGCGGATAAATTTCTCCCCAAGGTTCTTACCAACACTATAAATGCAAAGCAGCTCACCAGCTCTCCAGTTTCAGAGACATCAAAAACCAAAAACTTAAATGAACTTCAACTAGAAAATTGTATTAGCAACTTGTATCAGTTTAGCCTGAAACCCTAATCCTAATTCATGGGTTTGTGATGACATTGGGACACCACAGAGTAAATATAGCATATAATACACAAACACAACCATCCTAACCATCAGCCCTTTCCCAAAATTGTCACATTGATACTTAAGTGCACTGGGCAACACAACTACATTACCCAAACAACCAAAAATGCTGCCATTACAAATGGCACGTACAAGTGAGAGAAACGGGTGGAGGAAAATACAGATGCCTGTCACAGGTCCAACACCTATGTAACCCACAAAAGTGTCACTCATGGAAAACAGCCCATTTGAATTTGTTGCATACAAATATGCATGCATACAAATGACGAAAAAAATGTTGACGCCACAAAAAGGTTTGGTAGGCACTAGTAACAAAAATTGCACCAACAAAATTCTGGCTAAGGATTCTCAGTAAATGTCTCTTCGGCCTCGATAACAGATTTACACAAATTGCTCCACCATAACTTTTTGAAGAGTGTTTGGTCCATAATTTCAACAAATTGGGAACAGTGGCTGCTCACATTGTTCCAAGACATTTCAGAGGTCCAAAATTTAACATCAACCCTACTTAGAGGTGCATTATTCTTTGAAGTATGTTATATTCTTTTGATCCTCAATTAAAAGCATAATATACTCCTGAACTGCTAAAACTAACATCCTTTAGATCCCTGATTTCATAAAATAGAAAGGCACTAATGCCTTATTCCAAAAGCAATCCCCTTGAAATGCATATCTAAAAAAAGGGTTGCGATGGTGTCTCATAAGAACTATTGTCTAAATCAACTGGGAACGGAAGAAGAGCTCCACCCAACATTTTATAAATAGGTACATGCAGCCACTCCCAAAATAAGGCACGTTATTATGAGAAACAATAACATTCCTCCAAAAGTTTAATTAGTGCAATCCAATCCAAGTTTAGAGGGTAGAAAAACAAGTCAAAGATGCCTAAGTTGATACGTCTTCACCCAAGTAGCATATGAACTGTCTATAAAATGGAGTTCAGTATCTAAATTATGTTAAACTGCAAATAATTTAAGGTTCACTTATGCGGTTAATATGCACTAATAGTAATAAGCTCATGCAATGACTTTCCATCAGTAATCTCCACTGTGCTACAAAGGATGGTGGTCATCCAAGAATAAACTATATAGCCTAACAAAAAATTTAACAGCTAAACTATATGAATCGAAAGAATACCTATTTTCTTTTTCCCGCTCCTTCAAATCCTTCTCCTTGTCTCTTTCTTTATGCTCCACCTCCCGGCTCCTTTCTCTTTCATCCCGATCACTTCGATGCCTTTCTGAATGGCTCCTGCTTCGACGTGACCGCTCTTTATCCTTCTCCCGGTCCCTGTCACCCTCGCGGTCACGTTCTCTCCTGTCTCTATCACGACTAGGATCCCGCTCTTTGTTTCTTTCCCTATCTCTCTCCTTACCATTTCTTTCCTCCCTTTCTCTGTCTTCCCTACCTCTATGATCCCGGCTACTTCTGTGGCGATCCTTTTCTCTCTCTCTTGACTGTGAGCGGTGACGAGAAGATCCCCTCTGTCTGTGTCGATCATTATCACGTTCACGTGACTCGTCTCCAGATTTTGAGCGCTTTGAGTGACGTTCCTCATCATGACCTTTCTCGTCACCTTTGTGCTTTGAACTTCGGCTGCGACCTTTCTCTCCAGATTTCAATGTTTCCTCACCACCATTTGCAGTTTCCTTTGATTTCGGTGGTTCAGGATTTTCAACTGTTTTCTCTAAATAATCATACTCGTCAAAATCCATCAGACCTTTCTTCTAACCAGACAATGTAGCACAAATAACCTCACGGGTAAACCTCAGTTCTGGCGATATCTGCAACAATTCGGAAAAAAATCAATGAACAGAACAATTAGTTTCTAAGCACTAGACCAGTAAGCCTGCAGTTATCCGAAAGTAACCAAATTTATACATTTTAAACTAATAGTTTCTATATTTTGCACAAACCCAATAAACGCAATATAGAACCAAGTTTTCAAAACATAATTCTCCAATAAACTGAGTTCTCTTGACACTATAGTTTCTCAAATTTCCAGATTTGTAACACCTTTAACAACTGAAGTAACCAAAACCTTCAATTTTACCCGATTTTAAACGAATTACCAATCCTAAAAGCAGATTTAAACAAAATAAAGCAACTAAACCGTGCCCTAATTCGTAATTCCAGCCTAAATCATCTGGCGTTTGAGTTTCAACAGTTCCAAAACCGCAGCAAAACCTACAACAGTCCACGTTTCCCTTATACCATCTCCCAAACCCAAACCCGTACCCTAAATTCATTAATAAACAAACATGGTGCTAGGGTTTTACGGCGAGCTCGAAATATGTACCTCCAGTGGAGCTACGGGCAGAAGAAACAGCAAGAAGGAGAAGTAGGAGGACGAAGAAGAATTGCAGTTGCAGAGACGCAGACGCAGACGAAGGAAGAGCTGACTGAGACTGTGAGCGGAGAGGATTTGGTCCGAGCTTGAATTTGAGAGGGTGTGTCTCTCGCGCTCGCGCTAGGGCTAACTGTGTGTGCAGGACTACAATTTGGGCGCCACGTGGTATATATACGACTTTGTTTTCACCGGGTTCGGAGCCTTGAATAACATATGGGTTTGGATCCACTTTAGCATAAGGGCCCCGTTTCCAAATATGTCCCTCTGTTTTTCTTTCATTTATTAACAAAATTTTTTTTTTTTAACAAACAATATTATCTACACTAAAAGGAGGGAGAGTGGGATAAGCCTTCCAATAATACGGTTCAAATTCGTCTTTGACGAGAAATAAATTTAAAACCTCTCACTTAGAGTTAATTTTATCTTGTGGCCACAAAAATTTTACTATTCTCTAATGTATTTCAACCTAATTTTGGGTCACCAAATTTCAGCTATTGAATCTTTAACCAAGAATCTAACGGCTCAAACCCTTACTGCAACATACTTCGGAGCATGCTAAAAGACCCCAATCACCGACCACTTTCGGTCCAACCGAAAAGCTTATTTGATTCAGTCGACTTCAACAGTAGCCGGGAATGGTGAAAAGGTTTTATCAAATATGTGTGTAAGTGCTTGACTAAAAAACAATGAGGGAGGTAGAGACGTCGTCCCTTTACATTCAAAAAAGTCACCATGCATCCCTCTACCGGGCACAAAACTGAATTATGAAGGGGAAGACAATTCTCTGGTCATCTCAAAATAATGGGTTCATACAATTACTAATTATTTTTACCACCATTGAGAAATAATATATTTCTGAAATAATCATCACTTCATCACATGTAAATATTATGCCTGCATCCTAGTTTGTCTTAGGTATCCGGTTTGGGCTCTCACTTGAGCTCTCTGCTGAAGATCCCGAATCCTCGGTGTCCAACCTTATCCGTGCTTGTGCTGGTGCCTGGTCTTTGGCTGCTATCGGGTCTTGAACCAGGCGAATTTGAATCTGATGGGATCCTTTCTGATACACCTTGTCTAGCAGCAGCATCACCTTTCGGATTACTAAATATCCCGAAACCAAGTCCTGGAGTACGGGGAGCACTAGTACTTGAGGGTTCTTGCTTGGGGATATCATTAGGAGGATTCGAGTTTCTAAATACAGGTGCATTCGTCTGAGCTTGCCTGGGTTCCCCCACTGGTGAGAAGGGTGGCGTCGGGGTTCCTGTTCTTTGATATGGAGTATGGGGCTCTCTCATTCCCGGTCCCCTATTATCCATTCCTCTTGTTGGTGTGAAGGGCAAGTCAGTTGGTGTTCCTGTTCTTTGATATGAAGTATGGGGTTCTCTCATTCCCGCCCCCCTATTATCCATTCCTCTTGTTGGCGAATAAGGATTCCTCGACTCATTATTTCCGTGCCTATTTTGAGTCCCATAAGAGGATTCTCGCAAGGGCAGTGGAGTTGTGCGCGCTCTTGTAGGTGTGACATGCAACCTGTCTGGATCACTAATATCTGACTGAGAGGAGGCTCTTTGTGGCACAGTCGGATTATCAACCTGTGAAGTAACGCCACTTGCACCCTCACTACCCTTCTTTTGAGCCTCAGGGCTAGTTTTTTCAGCAGTCTTTGTTTTTTTTGCACCGCCCTTCTTTGATGGGCCAAACTTCACATGCCTGACGATTATAAATGCCTCTTTTCCTTTTCCTAGCGTTGGCTCACATTCGATAAGAGCTACATCTTCTATCTGCAAATGGTTGTCTAATCAGAGTGGGAGAAAAGGAAGACAAACAGTAATGAATACAAAACAATGATAAAAGAGCATCTGGCAATACCAACACAGTGAGACGAGAAAACAATTCTCCTAAGTCCTTATTCTCAGCATCCGAGGCAGTACACTGTTTCAGATCCATACAACACAATCAGGTAAATATTAGTTCATTCTTGCAGCTTTAACTGAAGGATGCTGTGATAGATCCATGCAACAGACATATTTAGCAAAACAACACAACGTATCCCATGATTCTACAAGGTGTTCACTTAGACAAGCATACATATGAACATGGTGCAGTAATAAATAAAATAAGTAGAGAAATACATCTGTCTTTTAATGGAATAAGCAAAATATAGGGAAATCGATGTATCAAGAAATTAACAAATAACAGCACCATGTTTTAGGTCGGCTTTTTTTTTTTTTTGGGTCAACTTCTAGGTTGACTTATGATGCAACTTTTGGCATTTTTTAAAAGGGCCAAATTTTTATCAAAGTTCCTATAAACTCTTTCAAAAGCTCGTTGTGTAAAAATGTTTAGATTTTAAACCAAATCAACCCCCTCCTGCATTCATAGTTCACTATTAAGAGTCATTTGTAAATAAACAAACTCTGTAGTTATCAATTCCCACAACGCATTTTTTTAGGAAAACATGAATAAAAGCCAATAGGCTATAGCTACCATAGCAAACATGAAATCCAGAAAAAATTGGAATATTTATCTCCCCATTGCCAAAGTCTCACTTGAACTCCTCCATTAAAGAGAGTGGTGCATACAGAATCATCATGACATTGTTTTTCTTTATAACCCTGAACTCAGAGATTTCGTTTGAACTGGAGCATTGAGAGAATTATGCAATTTCAGTTTTAATTACATAAATCTAACACATCACAGGTGTTTGCCGACAAGTCCAGACAAGTCAGACAAAATCTGAAGAAGATTGTAATTTCAGGTTAAAGTTACAGAAAGTTTGACACATAATTATTTGGATTTGAACTTTGAAGTGATGCAATGTTTCAGGAGATTGTGTAAAGGGTCCGTCATCTTGATTATTTTTTGGTGATCATATGAAGGCTTTGAGATATTTTATTAGAATTGTCAAATAGGATTTTTCTTATGCAAATGGTAACTTCAGGCGTTTGTAGTATTTACAAGGATAGGAAAAGGAATAAGTACCTTCACCCGGTAACCTTTCTCCATAAATCTCTTCACCATATCAGCTTTCATCTTTAGGTCCTTAGCTTCCTGAAATCAGTAGTAGTACGTATTTTGTAACATCAGAACTCAGCAATTTGTTTCAAATCATAACATTGCTACATTGATACTCAAAATGTAATCACCATATTCATCAAGAGATGAAAATAAAAACAGAAATGGTCCAGCCAGCGAGGTGACTTGCTTACCCAATGTACACTATATATCCCAGTATAGCGACGAACACCAAGACATAAAGTATTATAACGACAAATTTTTATCTCTAAGTTTAAATCTAATTATAAGATTAAAAAAGACACTATGATAAAAATTCTTTATTTTGAGTTCAATTTTCCTGTTATCTCCAAGCAACCCGTACAGAAGCAACATATTTTCCGTTAATCTGAAAAAGTGACATTTGCTCGAAGATGTATAAATTGATGGTGAAAGGAAACACAGAGCACTTGAAAAAATAACTTACAGTTTTTGGAGAAAACTTCACTTCCTTAGAATCTGCTCGCAAAGTCTTGTCAGACTGCATAGATTACAAATCTTATTAAAACACTAAAGGCACATCACCAAAATAAAAACTCTAGCACGACGTCATAGGAAAGGCTGCGAAAAAACCAAAAACAACAACAGGGGGGAGAAAGAAGTGGACCGCCCTAGAACCATATGCAGTTTACTAATATGGGTTTTCAATAGAATTAACTTAAAACTACAGTCCACTATGGACAATTTGACATCTAGTAGATCTGAGGAATAATGCTCATTTGACTCTACAGAGCGTAATGAATGGAGGTATCGCTATATCAATGTTACCATTCCTGTTACCTGTTTCTAGCATCATCATGGCCATTAAAAGATCAGTAGTGCAAATTTTTACATCATTGAGAATATGGGATGTGTTTCCCCTCTCCCAACCCAAAACACTTGAGCGCAAAAAGCATAAAAGTAAGGAAGCAACGAAGTCCACAATGTTTTCAAAAACACTTCCATCCCAAATCCATACCCAGACAAAAAGGTTTCAATTGATTCTGAAGTTAGAGAGAGAGAGATCTTATCATTTGCTTTTTCATTTTAACATCAAAGGCAAAGGCATAAATATACACCATAACCTACCTTAATTTTAAGCTTCTCTTTCTCCCTTAATTCCTTTTTGTACTTCTCTTTGTGGAAATCCATGATTTTACAAACAGGAGGATCAGCCCTGGCTTCAACCTGTGCAAAATACAACAAAAGTTATTGGTAATCAATAAGAGAACTAACTCATTGTCGGAGTAGATCAAACAAAATCTGCTACTATATAAAAATGTGGTTTAAGTTGACCATTCAGATAAGGATCAAAGAATTAAATATCATAGCTCAAATGACAGAGAAAGTAACATGAAAAAACCCCTCCCAGTCTGGTATTGTAATAAGAAACAAGAAAAGATAATTGATTTGGAGAAAATTAGGCATCGTTACATGATTAAAAAAAATTACCTCAACTAAATCAAGGTCGAGTGTCCTTGCCCGTTCCAGAGCTTCACGCCTTGAGACAATAAAATGCTCTGCATATATAAATAAATTAGAATGGCATCTAATAGAGGTCCACTACACTCCTACTCTACCTCCAGCTCATAATTTCATTGAAACCACCCTCTTTTAATAACAGAGAGAACTCTTCCATTCCCTTCTCTTTTCGACACTCTCATAACTCTCAATACTCAATTCACTCCCTTTGAGTATTTAGTTTAGAACCGCCAATTCACAAGACAGGCTGCGATTCACTGGAAGATGATTTCCAATAACAACTGTTAGTTTTTGCTTCTTAGTTCTCCGCCATCAACGGTCAGAAACTGTTTGATGAACCATTTCATTCTCTTACTTTCTTTCCTTTTCTTCACAAGTAAATTCGTGCACCCTATAAGTATCAACCCAAAATTTCGGTGAGACACCCCTTGGCCTGAATGCCATTTGCTTCCTCCTATCAGTTCCTTAACAATACAGCATTTGCATCCAAAATACAACATCTTTACACTGTTACCATCATTTTCTCAGAAACCCAATATAGTGTTTGTACCATTACTTCCTAATATTAATTTCAAAGTAAACACACTAAACAAAGTTGATATACATAAACTCATAAATCTTT